GATGACTGGCAGCTTCATCACGACAACGCACCCACTTATGCATCATGTCTCATGTAGCGGTTTCTGGTGAAACTTCAAATCACCCAGGTGACTCAGCCCCGATACAGCCCAGATTTGGCGCCCTGCGACTTCCCAAAACTAAAATTACCTTTGAAAGGGAAGAGATTTCAGGCTGTCGATGAGATTCAGGAAAATATGATGGGGTAGCTGATAGTGACTGGGAGAACTGTGTGAGGTCCGAAGGTATCTACTTTGAAGGGGACTAAGGTGTCATTGCCCTATGTACAGTATTTCTTGTATCTTATATCTTCTTCAATAAATGTCTCTACTTTTCATAGTACATGGCTGGATACCTTCTGGACAGACCTCATATATACCTACATGTGCATACTCTTACATACCTAAAGTTATACTTATATACATAGTTACATAACACAGTTATATATAATGTAGTCACGAGTTACATATAACACACATAATCACTTAACTGACTCATATCATCACATATATGAACATGTTTCATATTTAATCTGATTTATGCTGAAACGAACTTCATTACCAGAAATGCACAGGGCATTTAAGAAAAGCAAAAGGAAAATGACCCTGAATCTCAAAGTCCAAGAGGCGATCTGGGAAGGTAAATCTGCTGTCTTGATTAAATGGCTTCCGTGTCCTTGGACATGGAACTGACTCTTCTGACTCTCACAACTTAATTGAGGAAATGACAAGTCACCCACAACCAACCAGAGATTAAGGCAGTACAATTAGCCAGCCTGGGGCAGACCGTGTGGTCTACCTGTGGCAGCTGCAAGACCATGCGGGGGACTAACACAGCAGCCCGAACAGGCTGCCGGACAAGCGGCCCATTCGCTGCAGAAGGCCGTGCCCTGGTCAAGGCCAAGGGCCCCGCGCAGAGTCCGGAGTCCCAGCCTGCTGTGCCTGCCCTCCACACTCTCATTTTCTTTCCGTCTTTTCTAGCATGATCAGCATTTACTCAGGACCAACAATGCAAGGAACTAGGGGGCTGGGGAAAAAGAGCAAGATTTTCCCTGGGGAGTTAGACATAAAGACAGGTAAGACAGAAACAGCTGGGCATCAAATAATACTGGCATTGCTACCAAAGGAAGGCAAGAATGCGGGGGCCAAGAAAGCTGGCTGGGGAAGGTTTCTTGGATTAGACAGCGCTCGGCCAAGCCTTGAAGGAAAATTAAGATTCAGGCAACTGAGTGTTAAAAAGGGGTATTAGAGACAAGAAGTGTGAATCGAGACGAGAAGGTATGCACCACAATGTGAATACGCTAACGCTACTCAGCTGTACACTTAAAATGAAGATAAATTTTATGTGTATGCTACCACAATAATTTTTTTAATCCTCGCCGATATGTTTTTATAGATTTCAGAGAGAGACGAAGGGGGAAAGAGAGAGGGGGAAAGAGAAACATCGATCAGTTGCCTCCCATAAGCTCCCCGACTAGGGACCAAACCCACAACCTAGGTATATGCCACCTGGGGAGCAAACGTACAAGTTTTTGGTGTACGGGACACCACCTAACCAACTGAGCCACCTGGTCAGGCCCACGATTAATTTAAAAAAAAATTTTTTTTTAAAGACAGGCGCTTCCTAAAAATTTTATTTAAAGAAGACATGAACGCACACTGCCATTGGTAGCAACTAAGGAGCTGACGAGTCGGATTCCGCGGAGGGTTCGTGAAGAGGCGATGAAAGATTGTCAAGGAGGAGGCTGGCACTGGACTGAAAAACCTCATGGCCGGCAGCGCTGACCCTCTCGCCAAGGCCCCTAGCTTCACGGTCCAAGGACAGGCTTCAAGTTTTGACCTGTGAACATCCTGTAATAAACGTCAAATATTTGTTCATATGTGTATTTTGATCCCTAGAGACAGTAAATGGCTTTCAGATTCTCAAAAGGGTTTGACTTAGAAAACTTGAAAACCACTCATGTAAGCAACTGGCAGAAGGGTCCTGTGGGACGGGCCATGGCGGAGCTTTTCTAAGCTGCGCCCGTTTCCCTTGGGTCTCGCTGCTAACGGACTCCAGACGGCATTTAACAAACGGACGCCACACCTGTCCTCAGTGGTTTCTTTCTCACTAAGTACTTAACAGAGCTCCTGGCAGTTTATGAGAACAGCTCGGTCGGGTGACACCTATTGTAGGAAGGAAGCTAGCAGAGGGTGAGCAGACAAGCCAGTAAAAGGGACAGGAGGTAAAAAGACTCAATAAATTCAAGTGCCACAGAAGTCAAAGGAAAAAAGTCCTGGGGTAGATGAAGCGGGTACTAATGTCAAGTACAAGAGAAGGATTAAGAAAGATAAGGAAATGTCAAAAAGAGATGTCCCAATCCTATGACCTTCAGGTGCACAGTTTCTGTAGGGCAATGACGTAAGTCATCAGAGGTCAAGAATAAGGTGTCCCAATTGGAACACTTGAAGGGCAAAGGGCAGTCCTGTTGAGTTTTGTCCAAACATCAGGCAGAAGCCAGGCTCACCCTGGGCAAACAGAGCTCGTCAGTTACGGAGCTGAGGAGGAAGTCGGGGCAGCCCGGAAGACAGCAGATACCAAGTCGAAGGATTGGTGGGGGGGGGCGAAAAGATAAACAGGATGTGAGTCAGAAGAATTAGTAAAGATGAGAGGCAGCTTTATCAGCTCCTTCTATGGGAGGCAGGGAGGACTTCTGGAGGTTCTAAAGAGACAGGGAAGGAGCGAATGACAGCGTCTTGCATCCTCCATCTCCCTGAACATCGCGATGCACATAAGAGGGTCCTCAGCCATTTCTTTGCATCAATGTTGACCGCAGGACTTGTCCTCCAGGAAGCAGGAAGGAACAGAATAAGCAGGACAGGGGGAGGGGCCTTTCTTCCTTCGAAACTATATGGAAGGAGGAAGGAAGATGTGTAACAAGGCAGGCCAGAGCATTTTAGTTCAACCTGGGGAGCATCGGAGACAGAGCTGTCAGAGAAGGGTGCATTTCCACTTCCAAGTTAGCCTCACGATGGCCTTTCCTTCAAGGGAAATAGTGAGAAAGTGAAGTCAACTCTTGGAGTTCTTTGGCATGAATTCCCACGAAGGTTGTCAGAAGAACGATAAGGAAACGTATCCATACTGTAACCTAGTATGTCATTCAGTGCTGAGTGGTTGTTTTGTTGGTAATTTCACATCAGGTACATCTAAGTTTAAACTGGGTAAGAAAACAATAGCTGGTGTTGGGGTACAGAGATGTGACCACAAGGACTTGGGGCTGTGGAAGACACTGCTTTCACTGATGAAACAAGCCACAGTGGGAGAGGCTACAAAAGTGCCGGCGGCAGCAACGCCTATCAGCGCAGCAAAGGAGTCAGTGGACCACAAACGCAGTAGAACAAACTTGAAGCCAACTCTCCAAGCTGGGAAAGCCATTTAAATACACTGTCACCTGTGTAACCAGGCAGGACGGCGCAGGACTGCACTCGGTGAGCCCTATTGGCGGGGGCTGCCCCGGGCTATGGGGAAACGAAACCACGCGCAGCGCCGGCCGCGCCTCTGGACTGTCCGCCTCACCGCCTCGCCGCCTCGCCCACCCAGCCGCGTCCTCCATGTCTCAACATTTCTCTCCCATTTCCCAACCGCCGGCGTGGATTCAGTGAGCGCCTTTCCCACTCTCGTTTTTGGGGCACCCTCAAAACGTAGAGAAAAAGCCCGAGGGACCGCACTGTCCTGAGACCAGCACGGCCACGGGTCTCAACCCTGCATCTCTCGGATGCTCCAAGCCGCTCACGGTGCAGACCTGCTGGTGTGACACGCCCTCTACTCTGGATTCCAGCACTGGTTTCCCGTCCTGTGTACTTTTGTTAGAATAAATTATTCCAATGAAAACGTTCTAGCCCTGGCTGGTTTGGCTCAGTGGATTGAGCACCAGACTGCGAAGCAAAGGGGCGCCGGTTCAAGTCTCAGTCAGGGCACGTGCCTGGGTTGCACCCCAGCAGGTGTGTGTGAGAGGCAACCACACATCGATGTTTCCCTCTCTTTCTCCTTCCCTTTCCCTATCTCTAAAATTAAATAAATTTTTTTAAAAAATTTAAAAAACGTGACCATACTGACCATGTAAAAGGAGAGGAAACTCAGCCAAATGTCAGAAGAGGGTAAATAATCAAAACAGCGTTCACCCACAGACAATTCTGAAGTTACAACCAGGCCACTCACCTGAATGCAGCACCATCTCACACAAAGGAGGGAAGGTGTTCAGAGAACAGACTAGAAGAGGAGCCAGTCCCGCACCTGCAAGGGGGGAAGCTGCATGTTCACGCCTGACACGCGACACAGTAGAGCCAGTGAATGGTCACGAGGGAACACTCAATTGAAGGAAATCAATCATAAGCCCTGAGTCACATTCTAAAACAAGGGGCTCAGAGTATATACTTAAACAACCAGACAGACAGATACTTACTTTAAAAAGTCAGTTTATTTTCCCCTCCTGTGTTTCATATTTTCCTTTTGTCAGTAATGAGCAATGAACTGACTGGAAATCTGCTTGATTAAATAATATGAACAGGTTGACAAACACGCCACATTTCAGAGTATAAAGCAGGACGTTGAAAAATATTCCCTAACCCAATGCAAATTAGGCAGCCCTCAAAATTGCACACTTACCCCAAATTATGGTTTGCTTACATAATTTTAAATATTTATACAGAATGACCTTACAATATGGACGATTACGAGGCGGGATGACCCAAAAAACCCCGGAATGATCTTCTGGAGGGCAGGCCCCACGCGGTCCAGGCTTCCCCAGCTGGGTGAGTGTTCTAGGAGCCCACCTCGATCAGTGCACCAGCTGGCGCTGTGGCGAGAGGCTCTGTTTGGCTTCAGAGATTTTTTTTTTTTGAGTTCATTCAACGGTTTGCCCATTTCATGATGGACGGTTTACAAGCGCACCTGCCCACCCTGTGCTGAGTGTTCAAGAAGCTTTGGACCAGAGCCAGCCTGACCCCCATGCCCCACCCTCCCTGTTCACCTGATCTCGCCCCGAGCCACTTCTTTTTGTTTTCCCAGATGAAAAAAGTCCTCAAAGGAAAACATTTTGCCGATGTAAAAGTGAAACAAAAACGGCAGGAGCACTAAAAGGCATCAAAATCAACAAGTTCAAAAACTGAGCAGTGGGAAAAACATCTCGACAGGCGTACTGCATCAAATGCAGAGAGCACTCTAAGGTGGCTGAAGTTTAAACAAGTAAGAATAAACACACAATTCCTTATAATACATTCCGGGTTTTCTGGGGGTCCCACCTCATAGTATAGAATTCAGAGCCTTGAACGCGTATACTCTACAAATTTCTAAAGAACAGGTACCTAAATACCCCTCAGGCCTAAGTGATTCCTTAGTGTGATTTGGTGTCCCTGGCCTAACGCTTATTAGGACAAAAGGTCTTTCCTGTTTCTCTAATTTTAGTCTTCTGGTGAGGTCACTGAAGGAACCCGGCTGAGACCGAGATCAAGCCTCTGGAAACAGGCTGAGCAGATTAGCTTCCCAGCAGATCCCGGACAGCGAATCTGGGGTTGAGTGCATCGGCCATGGCTTACACGTTGGAATGTGCACAGGTGACACACTTTATGGTCCTTGAAAGGGTGACTAAAGTCTTCCTGGAGTTATAATTTTGAATGAAGATGGAAAAGAAGTTGACAACAATCTGGCGATCTTTCTGCTTCTGCACGCAGTGTGATTCCCGCCACCATGGTTAACAGAGGCGTTCCTGACCCAGGGCAGGCTCATGCTGTGATGTCCGATCCAGCTGGAGCACTTCATCCAGGTTTGGTGCTTCAGACATGAGCCTCATTTCCAAACTCATTTCCGAAGCAAAATCCAAGGAGCCCTCCTATTTATGGAGCCTGACCTTGATATAAACTATGCACGGCTGCCTCATGGTCACTCAGCTGCCCAGGCTGGAGAACAAGGGTCCAAGTCCAATACAGCCTTTAAGGTTCAAAGGATAAACCTCAACATCCCAACAAAGACGCTGGCAGATTCATAGGCCATCTGTACATTCACGAAAGGACAATGAAGTCCATCGGCAATGACTCCTGTAGTGTAGCAAAGCACCCGGCCCTCCCTCAGGTCAGTGCGTGGCGGGCCAACACCGCTGAAGGAGGCCTGGCTACATCTGAGGTTAGGCTGGAGCTCTTTAAGACAACCCCCAAATCGGATGAATTAAAAGAAAGAACAGTCCTGATGTGTCTCCTATTGTTCTTGCTCTTTTGTGGGCACTGTCACTCGCTCAGTATGCGAGCCTGTCGTCTTTGCACAAGAGAGCATATTTCCCTCACTATCAATGGCGAAATAAACAGAATGGTACAACTTGTCTGTGAAGAGAAAAAAAAGGCATTAAATGTGCAGTAACAATTTAATTAAGTCTGTTGGAGCATCATGCTTTGAACATAATAATGACTTCGGACAATTACATTCATCCTGACTTCATACAAAGATAACTCTAATCGTCAACGAATTAGAAAATAATTTTGAAAATTACAGTTTATATTACAAAATGCTATTATGTTACGGTCTCCAAAAAAAGAACGGTTACGCAAATTAAATAATTTACAACAGGCGGAACAGAAAATTGATCCTGGGGCTCAGATTAAAAACGGTGTTTCTTCAAACAGATCCAGTTTCTTTCCATTACAATTTCTAGTATGATCATAACAGCAAGTTCGCCAGGAGACACTACCCTCTCCTCAGCAGGGATGCAGAAGTGGACGGCCTCCTGACCCAGCCCCCGGGGGCTGCAAGGCAGTTAGGCGGAGGCAGACAGCCTCTGTCACAGCAGAGGACACCAGCCTGAAGGCAGCATCAGGCAACTCCCGGTGCCAACCGCCCCGTGACTCCTCGGACACGACAGCAGTGTCCGGGCTTGGGGCGGCTGAGGCTGCCGCCAGTTACGACGCCCCAGATTTAGGGACAGCACACTGGGTGCATCCCTGGTGGACGAAGCTGTCACTCGGCTCTCTCAAGCACACCTGTCCCGAGCACCATCTCACCCAGAACGGACAGACTACGTCACACGCTTATTCAGAAAGCAACATTTCAAAAGCATGAGGACTTATTCTGTATTGGCTGTTTCTCAGAAAGCACAAAACTCCAGCCAACAACCTCTAAGGCACAACACGTTCCTCAAGAGACCCGAGGTTGTCTCAGAGCCTGCTGGCCATAGGGCTCGTCCTAGCCGTGCTGCTTTTTTAACCCCGTGTGGCTCGGCGCGCACTGCGCCTTCCTTCAGAATTTCCGAACTATATATAGCAGACAGAGCGCGCCCTGGAAGAGCACACTGATTAATGTTGGTGATACTTTAAATAAGTCTCTTGTCTTTTTTTTTCTGGTGTTATAAATGACAATACTCATTAGACTCAGGTCAAGGGCAAACGAAGGGCCCTATCCCCTCTTAAAAAAAGAATGTCTTTCATATTAATAAAACGTTACTTCTCACAAAAGGATCTTTAAAAGCAATCAGCAATTTTGGTTTAAGAAGTGACTGATGTAAATGCTTTCAACTAAATTAATAAGAAAACGTACTAATTCAAAGAAAAGGGGAGCACGCACTTACCATGAGAATGAAAAAGTAGAAAACCCACATCCATCCCAGGTTGTCCTGGATCAAAGACACTAAATACTGTAAGGGAGAAAAATAAATTATAATATAATCCTTCATAATTAATAAAATGAAGTAGCTAAAAGCAGATTAAACACGGCTCTTGTAAAAAAATAATAAGGATTCGTATGATGTTTTGCAGTTTACAAAGCCCTCTCACATGTGTTCCTATGTAAATGTATCAGTGGCCTCCACTTTGTTCAAATACAAAAGCCGGAGTTCCAACGGTTGCTTTCTACCCACTTCACTATTAAGAGAGGGAGATATACATCTTCAAGTCACTTCCATTTAATCATTCTTTCTTCCCATCAAAGGTATTATAATTGACGCTTTCAAAAACAGCTTGTCTTTTAAGTATACCACTGATTTTACAGTGACACTGTTTGCTCACAAGATTACTGTATGACTTTAACATCCTACAACATATTCTTTTACTTTGCTTTCAATTAATTAAAAATAGCATGTAACCCTTTCTTTAAGGAAAAATACATAACAAAATATGCCATTTTAAGCATTTTTCAGAGGTACAACTCAGAGGTATCAATTACATTCACAATGTTGCACAACCATCACCACCATCTGTTAACAAAATTTGTCCTCACCCAAACAGAACCTCCGTACCCCTTAGGCAATAACTCCCCTCCGCCCCTTCTCCCCATCCCCTCGTAACCTCTAATGTGCTTTCTGTCTCTGAATTTGCCTATTTTAGATATTTCAGGTGAAGTGGAATCACACAGTATTTGTCCTCGGTGTCTGGCTTGTTTCACTTACCATAATGTTTTTAAGGTTCAACCATGTTGTTCTATGTATCAGAACTTCATTCCTTTTCACAGCTGAATAATATTCTTTTGTACAGATATACCACCATTGCTTATTCACTCGTCTACTGATCAACACTTGAGTTGTCTCCGCCTGTTGACTATTATGAATAGTGCCACAGTGAACACTGGCATGCAAACACCTGAACCCCTTCTTTTAATGCACTGGGGACACACAGCTAGGAATGGGACTGCTGGGTCACAGGGTGATTTTAACATTTAACTTTTTGAGAAACCACCGCCGTGTTTTCTACAACAGCTACACCAGTCTACAGTCTCACCAGCAATGTATGAGAACTCCAGTTTCTCCACGTTCTCATCAATACCTGCTTATTTTTTAATTATAGCCATCCTAACAGGTATAAGGTGGTATCTCATTGGGTGTTTTGACTTGAATTTCCCTGATGACTAAGAATGCTAACCATCTTCTCATGTGCTTATCAGACACTTTGTACCTATCTGTCATGACAATTTGTCCCCAAGTTTTCTTCTAAATATTTTACAGTTTTAGCTCTTAAAGTTAGGTATTCTATCCATGATGAGTTAATTTCCATGTATGGTATAAGGTAAGGACCCAATTTAATTCCTTTGCATGTGTGTATCCATTTTTTCCAGCACCATCTAGAGACGAAACCATTCTTACCCATTCAATGGTCTTAGCACCCTTTTCAAAAATCAGTTGACCAGAGTCCTGGCTGGGTGGCTCAGGTGGCTGGAGCATCACTCTATGCACTGAAAGTCTGTGTGCTCAATCCCCGGTCAGGGCGGATGCCTAGGCTGCAGGTCTGATCCCCCGGTGGGGCTACATGGGCGGCCACTGGCTGCTGTTTCTCTCTCTCCCCCTGCCCCACTTTCCTATTTCTCTAAGATCAATAACAACATATTCTTGGGTGAGGGCCCCCCCCCAAAAATGAATTGACTACAGATGTAAGCATTTAACTAACCCATGTTCTTTGAGCACATTGCTCAAAAGCGTTATAAAGAGAAGCAATTAAAGCAGAACAACTTAGTGATTTAGACTAGATCACATCACAGGAAGCAAAAAAGCAGAGGTCTAGTCACCCATTAAAGGAAACACAGTGGCCATCCAAATGCTGACTGCTACACTTCATCTTTCTTTTAAGTAACTTCATTGACACATGACTTACATATCAGGAAGTTCACCCATTAAAACTCATGGCATTTGCGCAACTATCACTGTAGTCTAAGTTCAGGCCATTTTTCATCACCCCCAAAAGAAACCTTATACCTGTTAGTAGTCACTCCCCAGGCCTATCCAACCCTAGGCAACCACTAATGAATTTGCCTATTCTGTGTATTTCATTAGAATAAAATCATATACAATATGTGGTCCTTCACAACTGGCTCCTTTCACTTAGCATGGTATTTTTCAGATTCATCCATGTTGTAGCATCTGTCAGGCCTTGCCTTCCCTGTAATTGCTGAATAACACTCCTTTATATGAATACACCACATTTTATTTACCCAGTCATCAGTTGATGAACATCTGAATTGTTGCTACTTTTCAGCTGTTAACAAATAATCCAGTTATAAACATTTGTGTACAAGTGTTTATGTGGACACTTGTTTTCATTTTCCTTAGATAAATGCTGCAATTTAATCTAATTGAGCCCCTGCTATTTGTCAAAAACATACTAAATGCTTGGACCATGACGTTGGGGAATCAGAGCACCTGTTCTCCAAGAAAGCGGGGTCCGGTACAGTGGACCCACACCAGTACACGTGAGACGCCGTGACCAGTGTTCTACCAGGGGTATGTGCCAACTGCTATAGATGTCAGGAGGGGAAACTTTTTTTTCTCAGGAAGTCAAGGAAAGGCAGGGAGAACAAAGTTATTCCAGGTAAGTTAGGGCAGTAGCTAGGGAGAAGGCTCATGGAGTTTTTAATAATAAATCATGGAGCTTAAGGTCTCATACCCCAGGCAACAGGAAATCTTTCAGAAATCGACACAAAAGGAGAAGGAGTAAAGCTAACGATGATGTGCTCCTGATCCTGCCGCCCGAACCGTGAGTCAGTCCACAGTCAGGAATCTGAAGACTGGGAGGCGAGGCGTTCTAAATAAAGGCACACTCCCTGAAATGTTCGCTGTAACCCACCCATGTGATTAATGAAGAAACGTCAGTGAGGAAGAATAACAAACTACAGTACTTTCAGAAAAGGATGCCAAATACAGTCACTCCTCACCACTTACATAATGGCATCTAATGGGCAGCCAAAGCATTTTTTGTTCCTACTCCAGAGCATGTTCAAGTAAGCAATTTCTTCTACCTTTGCTATGTTTTTTTTTTCCTTTAGTCTCATAATCAAATGTGCTAAGCATATCAATCATGTCACTCATTCGTTCTGCAACCATTCAACAAACACCTGAATGCCCACTCTGCGCCTGGCTCCACACTCGGCACCGGGGCTAAGGAGAGCACAAGGCAAACCAGAGGCCACCCTCGTGAAGCTTACGCTGTAGTGCGACAGACATCGACAAATACACACACAACATGGCCGGACAGTGGTAAGTATTAAGATGGTTTCCTTTCCTTAATACTTGCCCTCTCATTAACAAGCAGACACCAGTGATCTATCCCCGCTAAGCAAGCAAAATAGCAGCGACCTAAATATCGAAACTACAAATCCAGGCCTTCCATTCTTCCCCAGCTCTCTCTACGTCTATGGTCTTACTAATACCCCTCAAATTCTGGATTCCTGTTTCTAGGTCCACTGGGCACCCCTGTGGTTTTGCCTATAGTCTCCTCCATTTAACATCTCATCGCTTCTGTAATTTCAACTACGTTATCCATGGGGATGATTCTCAAATCCTTACTTCTGCAAAATTAGCACTCAGCGACCTGCCGTGGTATATGTACCCCTGGAGAGGCATGACTCATGGCTCTTCCAGACAAGAGATACCCTTCTGAGATAAAGCTGCATTTAAGCTAATATATATATATAATATATATATATAATTTATATGTTTATATAATATATATTATATAGAAATAAAATTAAGTTAAAAATTTTATATTTTATTAAATATAAAATTTATACATACATACATAGATATATAGATATATAGATATATATAGATATATATATCTATATATATATCAATCTGCAGAGTTCTCACTACCTGCAACAGGCCAACCTTGGCCCAGAAAATCTCAGACTCGAGAGCACAGAGGAGTCACCAGTAGGCCTGCTGAAACACAGATCCCCAGGCAAGTGCGGTGGGCTTACAGTTCTGTGCCTCTGGCGACACCCCAGATGCTCCTGACAGGAGACATGCAAAACTGCCCTGGGAGACACAGCTGGAGGGGGACGGGAAAGGGACTCTGGGCAGCCGCAGGCCCTGGCTGCTTCTGCTGAGCACCCACGTGAAGAGCGTGTGCACATGTGTTCGGAGGGTCTGCACGTCAGGTCGGGGATAATGAGAAGCATGTGTCTCATGGCCTCCTTGGCTGAGAAGCAGGGGGTGGCAGGCTGGGCTGAAAGATCTATCTGATGAGGTGTGAGCTGTGGGCTTATTTCCAGATAGAAATCTGAAGGTAAAAGTGGAAAAAGGAACTAAAGATGTAGAGGTACCCTCCATATGAGGTCACATCCACTGGACCTCACAGAGACTGAATCCCCAGGCTCCCCCTATAGCCAGACTCAAGGGAAGCTAAACCCCCAGGCTCCCACTACAGCTGGACTTTAGGGACTGAACACCCAGGCTCCCACTACAGTCAGACCTCACAGACTAAACACCCAGGCTCCCACTACAGCTGCACCTCAGGGGAGGCTGAACCCCCGGGCTCCCACTACAGCCGGACCTCAGGGGAGGCTGAACCCCCGGGCTCCCACTACAGCCGGACCTCAGGGGAGGCTGAACCCCCGGGCTCTCAGTACAACCGGACCTCAGGGGAGGCTAAACCTCCAGACTCTCGGTACAGCTCACTACAGCACAAGAGTGCCACCTACTGTGGCTCAGCGAGCAGGTGTAATTCTTCCACAGGCTGAAGAACTACTTAACACTCAAATCAACCCCTTCCCTGCTCACTCACCTGGCCCACAGCAGCTCCAATGCTCCCAGTTCCATCAACAATTCCTGTGACAGTCGCCAACGCCTCACTGCTCCCTTGGATCAGCTCTTGGCGACCCAGGTCAGCAGAAATAGCAGAGCTAATCATATTAGAAGGTCCACCAATAAAAAATCCTGAAGTCATAAACAGAACAGGTTCTTATTAAAACAGTATTCATAACTCCATTAGGAATCTCCTGAACAAGGCAAACTCTCACCCCACAATTTTAATCACTATGGTGGAGAGAAAACAATTGGGACGACTATAATAGCATAAATAATAAAAATTAAAAAAATACATTGGAGAGAAACAGGAAAAAAAAGGAAAATAACCAGTAAAAATGGAAATTCTGCCAGGCAGTAACATCTTCAAACTAGTTACCATCCACTTTTCTGAAATCCCTTCTTGAATTACATGACATGCTAGTATATTTGATGGAAACCAAAGACAGAAAGCATATAGTCAATACCCAGCCTTTCTAAGCCAGCGAAGTGTACATTTGTTAGTAACTGATTGCACTCGCGTAACAAACTGTGTCACGGTAGAGGCACATCACAGAGCACGTTACTCCCAAATTCAACCAAATATAATGAGAAAGGGAGAGAGCGCAGAGCAGCAGCCGCGCAGCCGGTGCAGCAGCTCTGCCTGCCTCCGCCCTCAGGGAGGCTGGTTGAGCACTGCGCAGGCGTCGCCCCGGAATCTGCCAACAGGGCAGGACTCGGTTCCCTGAGCCTCAGGCTGCAGGGTGGCTCTCACTATGCGGAGCATGATCTAAAGTTTAATAATAAGTGGATGGTAACTAGTTTGAAGATGTTACTGCCTGGCAGAATTTCCATTTTTACTGGTTTCTATCACATGGTCCCTAACTGCATTCACCTGTTTCACCTGGGTCTAGAGTGAAGAACTACTGACCAATTCCAACACAGGAGGCAAAACTAGCTATGCCGGACTTTTGAACAGCAAGCCAACTGGTTTCCAGTGCGGCCGCTTCCTAAGCCGCCTCCAGAGGTGCTATGAGAGCGATCAGAACTGCTGGCGCACCTCTGTCAAAGGGACGGATTCTGTAACCAAAGGGCGAAGGGGGTCACCTAATGACCAGCAGAGAACTTTACCACCTGAACTCTCTGTAACTAAGGTTTTAGTGTTACCTATGGAGGAGAGAGGACAGGGAGGAGGAGCCCGACGCCATACCTGTGACGGCCATCAGAAGTGCATTAATGGACTTATCGTTTGGAGAACCTGGGAGGAAAGACAGAAACAGCAGGCTGAGTGGAAGAGCGCACGATGTGTGCCTCCCCTGGACAGGCCGCCTACACCTGGTCTCTGTGACCCCGCACATCACACCCAGACACAACAAAGGGATACAGCTCTTTTGCGGCCTCCTCCAACTTGATTTGCAACGCCTGCCTCTTGTTGGTGCTGAAACTAATGAGACTTCTAAAAGCTACAGAAAAACCCTCCTCCCATCTCGGCGGCATCTTAAGGGACATATACCAAACCTACTACTAATTACCATCTTTCCTCTTTTGAAACCTTTTCCCTTTTATTGTTTTATTGGCTCTAATGCTGTCCCTCTGGAGCCTACCCTCAAACAAAGCATATACACTCCCAAGCCAGCTTTTAAACAAACCCACAAAGCAGAAGAGATGCCAGCTTCCTCCTCAGCACAAATAAAACTGTGTGGTGATACTTTCACCAGGTATTTACAGGACAATACGAAGGTCCCATGGGTGTCATGCCTTTGTAGCAGGTCTCAAGGTCTCCCCACGGTTATCACTGACTCAAGGGAGATGCCTCAGTCCTAAGAGATCAGGAAAATAATTTTATAGCAAGGGCATACTCACGGCTATATCCAACGAGCGACACAATGGCCAGAAGCAGACTCAGAGCGAGGACCGGCGCTCTCTTCTGTAAGACATCAGAGATGAAGCCTTGCAGAGTTCCACCTTTAAGCACAAAGAGTGCACCACAATCACAATCATTTATAATTTAGCTCGGCCACCTGACACTTGCTCATCAGATGCCCTCCACCTGCTATCAGGGTCCTAAGACTGGTCTATCCAGAAAGATGGCCGACCCTCCTTCAAAGCTTCCTCCCTAACTTCCTTTCTGAAAGATTACCTGACTGTTAATTGTCACAATGGCTGATTGGGACAAGACGCCACAAAGCAGACAAAGCAGACAAAATAAGGAGAAAAATCACCAAAACTACCCATTGTTCCCTGTTGTTTTCCCTCTTCAAACCAGCTGTGAAGGCTTTTCCAGATTCTTCTGCTTTTTATTTAAAAGATGATCAAGGACCACGCCTCACAGACTATCAGTAGCAGCCAATAAATACAAGGGGGCACCCAAAACACCCGGGATTATCTTCTGGAGGGTGGGCCCCTTTGTAACACAGGCTTCCCCCACTAGCTTAGTGTTCTAGGAAAACATTTGTATCAGTGGACCAGCTGGCGTTGTTGTGAGAGGCTGCGTTCAGTGAATTTTTTTTTGAACTCTTTCAACGTGTTTGCCCCTTTCGTGACAGGTGGTTGATGAGCACACCTGCCCACTCCACGCTGAGTGTTCAGCAGCTTCTGACCAATACCAGCGTGACCCCTGAGCCCCCCGCCCTCATTCACTTGATCTTGCCCCAGCGACTTTTTTTTCCCCGCCCTGGATGAAAGAAGTCCTTAAACAGAAATGTTTTGATGATGTGAAAGAGGAGAAACAAAAAAAATGCAGAAACGCTAAAGGCATCAAAATCGCCAAGTTCAAAAATGGTTCTGAGCAGTGGAAAAAAATGACTCAATTGCTGTATTGCATCAAATGGAGAGTATTTTGAAGATGCCTGAAGTTTAAACATATAAGAATGAATACACAATTTTTTATAAATAAATCCTGTTTTTTGGGGGGTCCCCTCTCATCTTCACTAAAATTAAACACAGCAGTTATGATTTACTAATAACTAACCTGATATTTAAAAAGAGGTGATATGAATCCTTCAAGCTACACAGTCACATTTAGATACAGTCCCACGTTAAGTTCTAGGGGACAAGGCACACCTGGCGCATCTTCATTAGACAGGAGGACACAGAAGTACGGGCAGGTCTAAAGGCGGCAACCTCGCTGCTGGCTCTGGATCTAAGAGTAAGGGCAGCCCTGACTGGCGTGGCTCAGTAGGTTGAGCATCATCCCGCAAAGCAAAAGGTCGCCAGTTCAATTCCCAGTCAGGGCATGTACCTGGGCTGCAAGTTTGGTCCCCAGATGGGACACATGCAAGAGGCAACCAATGTTTCTCTCACACATCGATGTTTCTCTCCCCTTCTTCCTCCCTCCCTCCCTCCTCTCTAAAAATAAAATCTTTAAAAAAATTTTTAAATAGAATAAGAACGAACAAGTTTCAATACAACAAGAGCATATCAGCTAAGGATACACTGGGTGCGCTCTGGGGCTCAGGGCAGTTCAGCTTTACCATAGTTCTAAATGTGAGTGTCGCAGGAAAGACACTAAGGTTTTGCCATCACCATTTAAGCCATAGCCACTAGAATGCACTCTGTACGTCTGTCTTAGTAAAGGTTTCCTACTTCCCTGTTTATACTTCCGGCTGTAAAAAAAAAAGTCGCTACTAAAATCTACTGTGTACAAACCAGCTACAAAATATTCACAAAAATCAATTTCTGCTATTACTCCTACCTCTATGATCTGACAATCTATACACTAAGCTAATGTGTACAGCCAAGAGCTAAGACATTAAAAGGTCACAGAGGTGGTCTCAGTCTTCTTTTCTATGGACTTTTTTTTTTAAGAGTTTGCTTACTGGTAGGATAGTTTAAGAAAAATGGCTGTGGAGTAAGTAATAAAACTTTAAATGATGTCAGATTTCATAACCCAGTAAAAGATCACTAGTGACTATTATAGAAAAAGATGCATCACGGGCATTACCTATGATCCCTCCAACATCGTACCAAATGGACAGCTTGTCAGCTTCAGCCTCCTTCCAGCCGAAGTTGTTACTCAGGTAGAAGGGCAACCAGAAGAAGAAGGAGTAATTCACTAACTTCAAGCAGGCATAGGCCAGTGAGTACTAGAAGAAAAATGTTCAATTATCAATAAGGAACAGCACAGCAAAGCAGGACCACAACTTCTAATGAAATTAAAAAGCAAAACAAAATAGAGGAGTCTGGGACAAAGTAGTACCTGATTGTAAAATTAAATGTTTCTACAAATTCCCATTGGCCTGACTTTACCTAGTCTCCCTCTTCTCTTTAACCCCATTAAGTTCTAGAAAGGCATGAACAGCAGGCCTTTAGAATAGAAAACATATATGACCATCTCCTAATTCCCCCCAGTTTCTTCTCCTTTCAGTTCTCCGGTAGAAGCAAACCAGTGTTTTGAACCTATAAGGCAGGGCACATACTCCTATTTCTTTATTTAGACAAAGACTGAAGGTATTCATGTCACTGACTAGCATTAACCATAACCAAATAAATCTAGTAAACATCACAGCTTCTACTGCTAGCAGCCAACTATTTTAGTTCTTCTACTTCCTGCGAAATTCACATTATGAATGATGGAGAACAAAATGACTAAGCAATAGTTTGAAGGTCTAAAAAAAGCATCAGCATCACAACTGCTTTCACATTACGGCTTCCAAAAGCCTTACATTCCCACGTTCAGCAGAGACGCTCAGAGTGTCTCTGGTGAGTCAAAAAGGACAGCGCAGGCTTGTCGTGGGCCTCAAGGCTCTACTTCTATGAATAAAGTTGTAGCTGCCTTAAGATGGCAGCGGTGCTAAGATTCCTATATTCAGCCCATTATTACCAGGAAATCCTGACATTGAGCATCAAAGGAGAAAGGGGGAGGAACAGAGAGACTGACTTCAAAGGGCGCCTGGCTAGTACATTCTTCTCCCGGGAGCTGCCAGTTATTCCCCAGGCATCACTTGTTCTAAAACAGCTTACCTGGCCGGGCGGCAGCCACCCCCTAGAGGGCCCAGTCCCGGTCACGGCTGCGTTGTGCCCAGTCTGCTCCAGAGACAAAGGAATTAAATTAACTAGACTTCCTTTACATCCCCGCCCAGGGCGGGGACCAGCAGCTTGGCAAATGCAAAGGAAGAGTGAAAGGTTCCATATTTTGTCACAGCAAATTTAAGTTCTATTGCAGAAATTAATCTATTACCAGCACAATATTTTAGTAACTGGTTAAAATACACTAATCATTATCATAAGAACAGGCCTAAAGAAACTTGCATTCCCCTTATATTACACATCACATTTTCAAGAATTGTGGGAACTCACACTTTAATTCATAGATGTGACAACCTGCAGGCGCTGGTACTAGCTCAGGGGTCACCTTCAGAAGCACCACTGAGCAATAAAATAAAAACAGGTGCGTGTTCACAATGCAATAACCCAACATTCTAGGCCCCAGGGAAGACTGGTGTGCTTTCTATTCCACAGGAAGGGGACGTGAGACACAAGGATGCGCTCACGACTTACCCCAGGCCTCACAGAGGGTTAGTGGGTAAGCAGGACACATAACCTAGGCCTCTCAACTCCCACTCCCATGCTAGAGCGCCCGAAACACCAAGACAGAAAAACTGCTGCAGAAGGGATGTCGTTCAGACATTAGAAAGTTCTCCTGACTGTAAAGGCTGTGGAAACACTGGAACGCATGACCAAGAAACACTGCGGAGTATCCTGCTCTGGACCCTTCAATAGATGGGCAAATAATTGTTTCTACCTAGAATAAGAATATGGGCAACTACGGCAGATTTAACAACCCATTCAAAGCTCCTCCTGGTTGACATACAATTTTATAACACTGCAACAGGCCAGACGGTACATATTTAAAACCAACTCTGCCTTCTTACTGAAAGGCGAGGCCAGGTTCAGCAAACTAGGGCTCAAGGCCAAATCCAGCCTGCCCATTTGTTCCCCGTGGCCCACGGTTCCTTCTGCTCTAGAGTTAAGTAATGGTGGCAGAGACGGAGTCCCCGCACAGCTGAAAACATTTACTATCTGGCTCTTCACAAGAAAGGTTTGCTGACCTCTGCATTAGGCATCAGGAAAAACGGCAAGTGGTGCCAATATAAAAAGAAGCTACGGGGCACTATCCACTATCCCTCTCAACACAGATGTCTAAAACTAAGCATCAGAGAGAAGCTAAGTACACAAAAGTGCTTCATCCCAGGCAGAGTTAATGGCCAGGCTACCGTATCTCACTGGCTGTGGTAAAGACACCCGAGCGATCCTTACCGGTATAACTCCAGGAAGGCAACAAGCCTGGTAGAAGCTTATTGCCTTGACTTGGGTGACAGTACTGCCTTCTTGGATTGAATAATTAGCCTCATATTCATCTTCATTTTCAGCACCACTAATTAATGGCCTGTGCGAATCTTCTTCAAAATTTTCTTCTGCCTCGATACCTGGGAGACCTACAACAACGGAACAGCCGTCAGCAGGGGTGTGCCGTCTGGGTGCCCGGCGCTGTGCTCAGTGCTGTGCATGGGTTGCCACTTGGGGGGGGTCCATATAATTTTATTTCCATTTTATAGAAGCAGCAACGAAGTTCAGAGGCCAAGGTCAACTAAGGTCAATTAAGATTACATAGCAACAAACCCAGGTCTCTAATTCCACTTTATCAGGCTTCAGAGCAATGTGTTTTCAACTAAATCACACTGGCCCTCTAAAATATAAAAAGAATTAATTACATACTATTAAACTGATGTGCTTCTGTAATTATATTCAAAAGACAGAATTATACATCTATTTGCTTCTGTGGTTTCACTTGTAAGAATTCTGGATTTAACCAGAGATAAGTATCACACTAAATTATTTTCTGAAGGAAATCTGTCTCAAGTGAAATTAGAAACATATCATGCCAATTTCTAACCAGTGTCTCAATTTCAAAACTCATCTGCAGATGATGAGTTCTCCCTGGATCTGTACAAGGCGAGCCTCACTCCCCTCAAACACGGGCGGCGTCGCCTGGTGTAGTTGGACACGGGACACGGACAGCGAGGCTGCTCCCTTCACCCGCTGAAAGGAGCTCACAGTTCTGCTGGGAAAAGGGACTGGCTGTCCTGGCCTCAGATTTCTCTTCGTTGATAATAGCAAGACGTTCTGAACAGAAGCGACAGCTTGTCCTCACCAATTTCTTCGGGTGACACCAGGAGTCCAAAGAAGATGATGACCCCACCAGCAAACTGCACAGCCGCCGTCACCAGAAAGGCATACTGCAGGAGAGAGGGCGGGGCTCCTTACACACGGGGACACTGGTCAGAGGCACGTGGGAGCCCGGGCGGGGGGAGCATGCGGCCGGACCGGGAAACTGGGGGGAAATGGGCGCCGAGGGCCGGGCCTGCACCAGGCACCGAGCTGTGTTTCACTTGTGCTTTCTCTTTAATTTTCCCAAAGACTCTCTGAGGCTCGGAGGAGATAACCGAGGTCCCCTAAACACGGAGTGGTATTATGACTGAAGTCAGGATGAGCTCCAAACATCTCCGTCTTTGCACCACACAGCCTTCCACAAGAGACAGTATCTGCCATCTAAGATGTTCTACCCAGTCAGGGGGATCAAACAGTAACAAAACAATAATATAAGGCAGCACATAGCTGAATAAAGAAGGAGGCCCACTCCTAATAAGAAACATGTACTGGTATTTAGAGGAAATTAATAGCTAAAGAGGCTGAAGCAGCTCCACAAAGCTTTAAGGCAGAGCTGGCAATCAAAGGGACTGACCACCTTTCCAGGCACAGCTGCCACAAAGGCCCCTGGTGGGCGGCAGAGCGCTTCTGCTGGGAGGTAGCGGGGAATACAAACCTGACTTGGGAAGGCGGAGTGGAGATTAAAGACTCTGAAAAGCCAGCCGGCTTAGCTGAATTTCACTGAATAGACAATGGAGCCTGACGTGGATAGGCAGTCTAAATTTTTGAACAAGTCAGTGACAAAAGTAGTGTTTTTAGAGGTCAAATGTGGGGCATCGCCTAGGGTGAACAGAAATTCCCATCCAAATCAATCAGTACAGCAGGTGTGAAGCTAAAGCGCCTGGACTAAGGGAGGCTGGGACCACGGGAAGGCTTCCCACGGGCCCTAAGTAGACAGGGGCAACACATTTGCACGAGTCAAGCAACAAAAAGTAGATGAGCTATAAAAACCCTCCCCGCGTCCCTTCTCCCTCACTTTCCAATCCTCACTTTCCAATCATATAACCACCGTTGTTAGTGCATTTTTACTTTCCGGAGATTGTTTTAGAAATATACAAGCCAGTACAAATGTATACTCTTGATTTCTTCCTTCATTTTACACAAATGGTGACTTAATAGGCACTGTTTTGCACCCTCACGTTCCTCACTTACTACAGTGCTACCTTGGTACTTGTCGTTAATTCATTCCAATGAGCGGTGAGCAAGCTCCAAGCGCTGAAACATTTTTTCTTGTCAAAGTGCAACAAGTACCAGGTTTGACAAGTTCTGAAGCCAACGAGTACCAAGGTGCCAGTCTATGCACCATGGAGGTATTTCCTCACCAGAACCGAGAGAGCTTTGCATTTCTATTTCACAGCTGCACAGCACTGCACTAAATAGCTATATCAGTTTAACTACTTCCCTTTTGATTGACATTCATTATCAACATTTTGCTATAACAAACAATGCTGAAATAAATATCCTTATAGATATGTCACTCTGTGCATGCTTAAGTATGCATGCATGGTTAGTTCCTGCAGCTATAAGTCTGATACAGTCCCATGTGGACCCCAAGAGGGATTATTTACTTTGTCATCTATAATGGCTATTTCTTCACGTCCTCATAAACATATTACTCTCATACTTAACTCTCGTACCAATTGCATAAATATTCAGTCTAGTTTCTTTCTTTTTTACAGTGTAGTTTTAATTTGTATTTGTCCTCCGACAGCAACTAAGCTCCAAAAGGGCAGAGATTTTGTCCCTTTTGGCCAGTGTCCATTCTCTACTGTCTAGAGGCACTTAGAGGACTTAATAAATATTAATGCACTTAGAGGACTTAATAAATATTAATGAAATAAAGTTGTAAGTGAAGTGGAATTTCTCTTCATGTGTAGAGCATACGAAAACAGCATATAAGCTGTTTCTATTCCCTTTTCATCAACTACATGTTCAGGTCCTTCATCTTTTTTCTGTGTTATTGGTCTTTTTCTCATCAATTTGTGGGTGCTTTCTCATGTAGAAAGATTAGGTCTTTATCTGTAACACGAGTTGCAACTACCAAACCAACTGCTTGTCTCTAGACTTGGGTGTTTTCCAGGAATAATGTTTTGTTTCAATCTGTCAAAAGTTTGTTAATTTTTCACACAAGCCTTGCCCTACCCAGACACAGCTCAAGGTGGTTTTAAATAGCCACAGTATTAGTCCAATATATATAGAGTCTGTCTGTAGAAAGTCCAGCCATTGGTAATACAAGAACAGACTGCTCAACACTGATGTAACCTGGCAGCCAAGGAGAGTGGACTGGAATGCATATGTATGAACAATGATGACTTCACTGTACTAGTCAGAGGGGGCAGTAAACGTTGAGTGAGCATGTCTACTGTGTGGCCATCGCATTCAAAATGACTGAGCGAGTAGAGCAATGAATCTGCATCAAATTTTGCTTTAAGCTTGAACATTCCTCTGAAGAAACTATTCAGATGACTCAGAAGGCCACAGCTGTGGGCAACGGGTGACTGGCAGCTTCATCCTGACAACACGCCCGCTCATGCATCACGTCTCATGCAGAGTTATTTGGCGAAACATCAAATTACCCAGGTGACTCAGTGCCCCTACAGCCCAGATTTGGCTCCCTGTGACTTCTGGCTTTTCCCAAAACTAAAAAAATCACCTTTGAAAGGGAAGAGATTTCAGGCCGTCAATGAGATTCAGGAAAATACGACAGGGCAGCTGATGACAACTGGGAGAACTGTGTGAGGTCCCAAGGTGCCTTCTTTGAAGGGGACTGAGATGTCATTGTCCTATGTACAATATTTCTTGTATCTCGTATCTTCTTCAATAAATGTTTTATTTTTCATAGTACATGGCTGGATACCTTCTAGACAGACCTCGTATACGTTTATATACGCGAGAAAAAGCTATCGAGAAATACCTACCTCGTAACCATACTGCAAAACTGAAGAGGCCAGGCACGCCCCCAGGATGTTGCCCACGGAAGCACAGGCACTCCAGAGACCGAACACAACGCCTCGCCTACGATGGAGAGTGGTGGGAAACAGAAGACAGGAGAATACAAAGGGATTTGATTTGCGGTTCAAATACAAAATGGCCCAAACAATAAAAGTTCACACTACAGAGAATCAACATTCTATTTTAATTTTTTTTTTAAGTACATCCAAATGGCAAAACATCAGGTCTCTTCAAATTCTAAGATTTTCTTATACTAAAGTTTTATTTGGGACTCATTAAAAGAAACTTCTAAGAGAATTTAAAAAGACAAGCCACAGATAGGAGAATACAGTGCATATCACTTATAAGGCTTGTCTCTGGAACATAAAGAAATCTCAAAACTCAATAATATGAGAGCAGACAATGCAATTAAAATGGTAAAGAGTATAAATCTACAATCATCTCAAAATAACCAAATTATGAAAAAGGGGCAAAAGATTTTAATATACTTCACATATAAAAAATATGATGCAAATATGCACATGAAAAGATGCTGAACATCATTAGACATTAAATAAATACAAATTAAAACAAAAATGAGGTATCACTGTATGACTATAGAGTAACTAAAATCAAAAAAGACCAAGCATACCAAGTGCTGGCAAAGATATACAGAAACTAGACCCCTTTACACTCTGCTGGTAGAAATGTAAAATGGCACAACCATGTGGAGGAGACTGCCAATTTCTCAAAAAGATATAAACACATCTACCATATGATCCAGCCATTCTATTTCAAGGTATTTATTCATGGGAAATGAAAGCGTATGTCCACATAAGGATCTGTATACAAATGTTTACAGTAACTTTATTTGTAATAGTCAAAAACTGAAAACAATCCAAATGTTCATCAACAGGTGGACAAATCAACAAACTGTGGTACAATGAACTACTGTTCAGCTATGAAAAGGAATGGACTCTCAATATACAACATGAGTGAATCTCTAATTATGCTGAGTGAAAGAGGACAAATAAGAAAGAGTACATCCTGTATGATTCCATTTACATAAAGTGTTAGAAAACTCTAATTAATCTAAAGTGACAGAAAGCAGTCAGTAGTTGTCCGGAGACGGCAGTGGGAGGGAGGGGTGTGTTGGGAGGGGTGCGGGAGGAACTGCCAAAGAGCATAAGGAAACTTTGGGGGGTGATGGGCTGTCCACTATCTTAACTGTGATGATGGCTTTAACGGTGTATTCATGCCCAAACTCATCAAATGGTACATTTTAAATATGTGTGCCTTACTGTATACCTCAATAAAGCCATTTTTTAAATGGATGGGTAGAAGAGTCTGGTGGAAGGAAAACTAGCTTTTACAACAGTCTTGGAGAAGAAATGATTAGCTCTGAACACTGGCAAATGGCAGTGAGGCTGATGGAAGAAAAAATGTTTATGAAAAGCTAATTTGTTCAAAGTTCACATTTCTATTTGATCTATTTGATACATATCATTAACACACTATGTAAGATTATCTAGCTCCTTAGCCCTGACCGGTGTGGCTCAGCTGCGGGCTGGGCCGTGCAAGAGGCAACCAACTGATGTGTCCCTCACACATGGATGTTTCCCTCCCTCTCTTTCTCCCTCTCTTTCCCCCTCCCCTGAAAATAAATACATAAAATCTTTAAAAAAGAAAAAGATTATCTAGCTCTTTAAACATTTTTATAACCTCACTGAACCAGAATGAATCTTAGAAAATGAACAGGGAGGCAACACTATGAAAAATAAAGGCTGTTCAGAAGTCTCGTTGCCCTCGCCAGCTGTGTAACTTCCAGCAACTCAGAGCTAAAGCTCAGGGGTCTCTCCTGGAAAACGCTGTGCTCCTCAGGGACTGAGCGCAAGGGCTACGGGAAAGGGCGCGGTGGGTGCTGCCCAAGGGTTCGACTCCCATTACCAAGCCTCAGTTTGTTTTCACAAACTCTGACCCTGACAGGCAGGAAAAGGGACCTGACTCATGCACAGGGACAGCTCTTCCGGACAAAGTCTGCACAGCTCCCTGCGTTCCCCTGGGCCCCGGTTTTTTTCACCTGGAAAACAACTGATCTGACCAAGGTCGTTTCTATCTTCTCCCCCAGCACTAAAACGCCCCGGATTCTCCAAAACATGTCCGATCTGCCAAGAGGGCTCTGGAGGGAAGAGTCAGAAGGCCAGATGCTGAACAACGCCCGCTGGCCAGAGGCAAGCTTTAAAAGAAGCCAGCTGAAAACAGCGGTGAGCCTAAGTTGTCAGAGTCTTATTGGTACTTAGTGGTTCATTGTTATGTTTCATGGGAAGAGTCACTCTGTCTCAAGCAGTGCATCCTCAATTTCACTCACTAGTGTTATTTGTTTAAAAATAAACTGTCTTCCTTTCAAAAAGAAGCTGTGATGGTTTTCTTGAATTTTTTTTTCTTCGTAACTGATCCACAAAAATAACAAGGGGCCGGCCTGTCCTCTCACTGCTACCAAATACCCAGTGTCTTCTGATTTATAAAAACTCAGATAAAAATTATCTCAAAATGATACATGTCAAAGTAATTATCTTTGAGTGATAGGATTTCAGGTGGTTTAGCCTTTATTTCTTTTTTCTCATTTACATTACCTGGTTTGTCTACAATAAACAAGTAACCTTTATATAATTTTCAAAAATCATAATTGGAAAAGAATTACCTTAAAAATCTTAATAAAGAGCCCCTGAGTAGACAGTGCCACCCACTCCGAGATAAAACCAAAGTATATGACAGGGAACAAGTGCCCCTTAAAGTGAATTCTGTTAACCCAGTGATGCTAGGGTTAGAATGAATAGAAATCACCGGCACACTGAAATATAATCGGAGCGTTCTCATTAAGTGGGGCTGACTGTGACTAGACACGTTACGGGTGAACTTGCACACCATCACAGACCCTCAGCCAGCGAGTACCACTGCTCCCCACTGCGAGACCAGGGACACTGGGGACCGAGAGGAGTCCTCAGAGCACGCACTGATCACTGCCCTGGGTGGACAACGGCTGGGGCAGATGCTGGCCCCGATGTATATGTGCAAACAAACAAAAAAGATAGAGCCATTGATGAGATAAACGTGTACCTCACAACACACAAATATTTATCTATGAAAAATGACAGAAATTCAAATTAATAATATACCTGCAATTGGAGTATCGCAAATAATGATAAACAACAAAGCCAAGCCTTTGGGTATCTCAGCCTATTTCCATCCTGTAAACGAAGTACGGCTCTTCTCCCCGGCGGCCTAGAAGGTACTTTAGCAGGTGCCGATCCTCACACCTTGGCCACGCTGCACACACAAACTCAAATACAATCTAATAATCACTTAAGGTTTGGGGGGAAATGCCCCCAAGTTTGGCATCCTTCATGTGCATTTTATTAGAGCCTTTGCTGTGTGATGTTAGGCAAGCCCCATGGATCGCTTTGGCCTCAGCTTCCTTACCTTTAATGGAAGGAGGCTAAAGAAGATCACCAAGTTGCAAAAAGGGGAAAAAAGGCAAACCCCTTGGATACACACGATGGGATGGCACATGAGGTATTTATGTTCTCTAAAGGGAAGATTAAAGAAAAAACTGAGACACGCTGCCTGAGCCACACTCAAAATGTGACTACCGACGGAGAGCGACCGACAGGGCTAGACCGTCCCTAAGGTCCACACCGTTCCCAATGCACTTTGATGTGAAATCGCTCCATAAACTATTCTAACTTTCTGAAACGAAGGGAGGACGTGGGTGGTGTGGGAGGGATCGTGTTAACTGACAAGTCTGAATAATGCGACATTAAAATCACTTAAAAAGATAAATTAAAGAGGAAGGAGGCGGCATACCCGGCTTTCCCAAACCAGTTGCCCATGACGGCAACCACGCAGGGCCACCCCGTGGACTGCAGCAGGCCATTCACAATCCACAGGCAGCAGTACAGCCACTTGTTGTAGAAATGCAGCCACTCTGTGACAGTGCCAAAGACAAACACCTTGGAGAAGAAGGGAAGAAAGAGGGACATGTGACATCCATGTGGACACTTGGATACACTCAGCCGCCAAGCACCTGTGTTCTGTGTGAAGAGACTACAGGAAGGAGACAGCCAACGTCTAGGCCTACGAGCCGCGGGCCGACTCCCGGGACGCTCCCGCCCCAGGCAGCACTGCGTGTGTGAGACCGCCGCCAAAGCGCCCCCAACCGAAGAGGCAGAGATGTCAAAAAGCATAAAACTCATGAGCGATCGTCCCTCCAACTCATGTCTTCAACTCTACAAAGTCAAGTCTTCATTGTTTGACTTCCTTTTATACCCGCAGTTGACCCTTGAACAACAGGCAGGCTAGAGGTGCTGACTCCAAGCAGCCAGAAATCCATGTATAACTTTTCATTCCCCCAAAGCTTAACTTCTAACAGCCTAGTGTTGGCCGGAAGCCTTACTGACAATAGAAACAGTTGATTAACGCATACTTTACGTGTTTATATATTATATGCTGTGTTCTTACCATAAAGTAAGAGGGAAAAAATGTTATTAAGAAAATCGTAAGAGAAAATATATTTATAGTATCTACTGAAAAAATCCCCATAGAAGTGATCCGTGCAGTTCAAAGCCGGGTTGTTCAAAGGTCACCTATATTTCTGTTTCCTCTTCCTCAGGCTGGTGACTGTGGAGGACTGTTACAGGGACCGAGTTCATGGGGGCAACTTAAGTCAGAACCATGCCAGGCGCATCATGGGGACTGGGAGGCACCAGCTGTCACTATCACTGCTGCCGCTAAGTCAATCAGAGCCACTTGTGACAGGCTCAGTAATTTAGTAGCATTCGTGTAGCTGCTTTTTTCCAGACAGTTTGCTTGAGTGAACATTTTATTTGTGGCTGAAGTCTCTTTTGGGAATATGTGGCATGGTAATACTGTATGATTCCAATTACATGACATTCTGAAATGAGTAAAATTACAAGGACAGAAAAATGGTCAGAAGGAGGAAAGATGGTAGTTATATGCCTATACTCACGTCAAAATTCAGGTCTAGGCACTAAAAAGGGTGTACTTATATACATATTCCAATTTTTTTAAAAACCGTTTTAAGTATGTTTTAAAACACGTTTTCAAATAGTACGTACATACATGTGGGTGAGCAGCGCATGAATAAAGTGGTTCAATCTCTAAACTGTCAAAGAAAAAAATGGCAGACACTGAAAAACAATAATAAAATAGAGTCTGTCTAAACGTCACACCTTCATTCAATCAACACAAATTTCTCCCCAGACCCTTGTAAGCAAATAAAGAGGACTCAGATCTGGATCTTGCCCGTGCACTGCGCCAGGCACTGTTCCGAACGCCTTGCACACAATAAATCACCTAGCCCTCCCGACAGCCCTAGGTGGGGGCCTCAAACGCAGAAGCCGAAGCAGAAAGGGCAGAGGACGGGCTGAAACCAGGCAGTGCTATCTCAGGAAGCCCGTGATCTTAACCACTGTGCTCCGGCCTCCCCGGGGAAAGCGAGACTGAGAGAGACAGAAGGAGGCCAAGCAAGAGACAATATCCATGCCTTCAAAGAAACACAGGCACGGGAGTTCAGAAGAGGGAACGGTGACTTCCAGGAGGGGTGTCAGTAAAGTAAGGCACTGTGAAGGAAGTGTCGTATGGCCAGTGACTTGAAGGAGATGCTAGTGAGACTGTGGAAAGCTGAAAGGAGGGCCACGTGAGGCAGGACGCACAGCAGAAACAGCAGCAGTGAGGCAGAAGGGGGCCAGCCGCGTTAGGGCTGCAGACAGTGGTCTAACCGAGCAGCGCGGTCACGCACAGAGCAGAGGCCACTGGGTAAGTGGGCTGGGACCAGGTACTGGAGAGCACTGGACGCCATGCGATTTATGAGCTGACTTTGTTGGTGGCTGAGAGTTAAGGAAGGGGTATGATCCAAATCATACTTTTAGAAGACTCCCCTAACTGAAAAGGTAGGCAAGGGATTCAAAAACTGAAGATTAATTTTATTATTGTCTTCTACATGCAGAAGTAGGAGGGATTGCTTGGATTCTAAAATAACTGACAAAAACCACAATCATCATCATTATCATTTCTTTAAAACTTTCAAACTTACCACTAATGCAGAAGAGCACATGCCAAAAGACAGAACACATCGTAAATTAAGCCGATCCCCAACAATACCGCTGATGAAAAGGCCCTAAAAACAAAGCATTTTATTTTTACAGCCCTGAATAACAACAGACTGAAAAAAAGAGGCATTGCAAACCAATGAGGCAAGCAATATACTGAGAGGACTTCAAATTAAATCTCATTTTCATGCCTAGATGAGGTGTCTGTATATCAGTTTCCCCAATGTTTCATGAACGGACACCGGGGCTTCTGCACGCCTTGTGCACGGGGACATCGTCCGTGCAAACGTATGTTCTGCCTGATCCTCTGACGGACTAAAAAGGGACTGGGGGACGGGGAAACCAAGAATTATTCCAATAAAACAAGCGCATAAATACATTTCATTTTCTAGAACAGATTAACTCCTACACCATGAGCGATCCATTTTGCCCAAGGGATTCCTCTTAGCTATTTGCATTCTGAATAAAGATGTGTCCCAGCATGTCCTGCAGAACAGAAGCTTCTAGAGCACAGGTGCTGCCTGTTTAATGTGACCCTTGGGTTTCATGACGTCACAAGGCAAGGGGCGGAGGGAGGCAGAGGCAATAATTAGCTGAACGTAGGTACAAATGTTCTGCCTTCTGCTCTCCTCCCACGGACCAGCAGCAATTAAAATGCTCAGATCACAGCAGCAAGCAGACGAAAGAGCAAAGGGGAACACACTGTAGGTTTCTTCCGTAACTGTGTAAAACACATGGACAGTCCTTACTAAAAGCCTAAATTCTGATATAAGTGTTTCTAATAGACTATCTCTATCAGAGAAAATTGAGATAAATGTCATAACTGTTTCTTCCTCATTATTGACAAGCTTTCACTACCTCAGATGAGGCACCTACAAATGTTAGAGACTTTATGTTCTATGGCTGCTGCTCACAGGGTCTTATGCTACAGACAGTAAAGGGAGTGAGGAAAATTCCTGTTACGTCTCAAGAATAGGGAATCAATTTATTCTGTGCTGCTCCGACTGCCTGCACAATTCCCGGATGTCACACAGACAATGCGCTTGGGTATGAAGAGCCACGGCCACCTACTGCTCACACTCCTGTTTCACCGCCTGAGCCTATTCAGCCCTGCGGATAGGCAGCATCAGCACAGCTCTATAGGTGAGGAAACTGAATATCAAAAAAAGGTTAATCCCAGGGGGGCAGCAAGCGGAACACAGCCTGCTGGCGGTGGTGGAACCGGTTTTTCCACTGGGCTCCAGTGCCTCTTAACATAGTCTGTAAAAGCTCAGAGAAGCCTCGCTGGGAGTGCTCTGGACAGCGGACAGCGTGAGATGACCCCACGTTGGGATTTTGAACTGAAAATGACCAGGGCGAGAAGCCAAGGTACAGGATTTCAGATCTGTCCCAACTTTTTCTGTAACTCTCCTCTGAAGAAAAAATATTCTAATGATTACCCAAATAAACATTTAGAGATTACTTTGGGACTCTCGCCCAGCATTCCACATCACCTGGACATTCAAGCTGCAAAGGCTTTTGTTATCGCTGGACACGTTTTCAAGACAGGAAATAAGATGCTGGGGAAAAAGGTCAGACTGCGTCCACAGTGCCCAGTTCCAGCGGCTGCCACCACCGGCCCCCTAGCTCTAACCCAGAAGCCAGCACAGGCGTCCCCACAGGCAGGCACTCTGGCTCCCCAGTCCGAGAAGATGCACTCGATGGTGGCAGCGCCACCGCCGCCCTGGCCTGGCTCCCGGGACGCGGCGCTCTCAGGGCTCCTCTCCCCCGCACCCCCCGCTTGGCCCCAGCCTCCCGCCCAGGCCTCATCTCCCTTCCTCCAAATGCTGGGAACCCACGGCCCCGCGTTCACACCTCTTCTCTGTCCCCAGCTCTCTTGGTGATTTCAGCCAGTCTCATAATTTAAAAAACCACACACATGGAAAGGACTCTGAAATCTGCTCCTCCAGCGTAAACATCTAGACACACTGACCTCGCTTCCCCACTTCAGGCCTCTGCTCAAACTTCCCCTTGTCTTCGAGGTTTCCCCAGCCACCCTGCTTAATCACACACACCCCCACCCCGCAAGCTATTTATTCCCCTTTCCCTGCTTTATTTTTCTCCACAGCACTCACCACCATGAAACATACCTTATAATTTACCTACTTATTGCATTTTGTTACCGTTTGTCTCGCTCAACTCCCACCCCATGAATATAAGCTTTATAAAGGCGGGGACTTTTCCTGTGTTGTCCCCTGACGAATCCTCACTGACTGAACAGTACCTGGCACACGCTAGGTGCTCAGTGTCAAATGAATGAATGGATGAGAAGGACACAAAATACACACTTCAGCCAATAGTGATCTCTCCTCAGTCAGCAAACTCAAAATCTTTTAGAAACTTCATAGAGCTTGGAGTCATTTCCTTTCACATCTTTCTTTAAACACCCTGGAAGTCTAAAACTTACCACGGCATAGGAGAAGAGGAAAACAGTATCCAGAGTCCCGAGGAAAAGAGTGGCCTCCTCTGCACTGGGAAACAAGTGGTTGTCGCTCCAGATCTGCAGAAACACAGCAAGAGAGTGTCAGTGCGCGCTGGCATCTGCTCGCGCTTGTGTTTCTCAAAGCCCCTTCCCATACAGGAACCTGGTGAAGCTGAAATGAGCAAATAGTCACTTTGCAGATGGGAAACACACACACACACACACACACACACACACACACCCCACCCCACCCCCATTCACACAATGCAGTCCCCCCCACTCTTATCCACGATTAAAACCATTCACACAGTACAGTGGCCCCTCCCCCTTTATCCACGGTGGAAACCATTCACAAAATACAGTAGCCTCCCCCAACCATAGTCAAAACTATTCACATAACATAGCAGCCCCCCTTATCCAAGGTGTTCCTTTCCAAAGTTTTAGTTACCTGAGGTCAACCAAGGCCCGAAGTATTACAGTATTTGGGGGGCGGGGGAACGGAATGCATGTGTGAGCATGAGGGGTGGGAGGGAGGGAGGGGAAGAGAGACCACATTCACATAACTTTTACTACAGTATATTGTTAATTGTTCTGTTTTATAATTATTGTTGTTAATCCATTAATGTGCCTAATTTATAAATTAATCTTTATTCCAAGTACATATATATAGGAAAAAGCACTGAAAACACAGGGGTTGGTGCTATCCACAGTTTTTCCAGCAGCCACCAGGGTGCTGGAACGTGGACGCCCTATGGGTGAGGGGGACTACTGTGCTAAAAGCCACTTTCCTTCCCCTTCAACTTTTCCATCTGTGGCGCAAAAGCTGCGGGGGGTGAAAATGCTGTGCATGGGCATGAACCAAGCAGTCACACTACAGCGCGCTGTATTAGTCACTGTGTTCTTCACTGCCACACTCACAGGGGAAAAAAGTCAATTTCACTTCCCAAGGTTCTTGATGAAGCAGTAAAAATGATTAATTGTATCGAATCTGGCCCAGGAGCAAACCTATTTTACTGCGAGCCAGCTGCAGGAGGCAGGGGAAGGTACCCGTCAACACCCTGCACACAGGCTAGAGGGCTGTCCGGGGGGAGCGCTCGTGCAGCGGCCTGAGCCACGAGCGGGCATGTCATTCTGGCTTGAAAGAATGACTGGCAGACACGGCGCCCCTCCCTGAGTGTTTGAATATTTGGCAGATTTCAGTATCTGGCAGATACTTCCTCAAAGAAGAATGAAACCAGGCTGTCACTTCAAGATTCATTTAAAGTACAAGATAGACAAATGGATCTTAATGTAAGGTTATAAAAAGTTAATTAATACAGTTTCAGATTCCACATTGCAACTACCCTTTAAGAAATTGTCACTTGTCAAATTCTGGTGTAGTTATCAAAGACAAATACCTACAATTAACAGAAAAGGCTGTTAAAATACTTCCCCCTTTTCCAAGACGTATCTGTGGAAGCCAGCCTCTCTTCGGAGACTTGAAAGGATCATGTTGCAAGAGACTGAATTCAGAGGTAGACATGAAAACCCACTGTCTTCTTTTCAGCCAGATATGAAGAGATTTGCAAAAATGTGTCAATGCAAGTCTCATCATTAAGTGATATTTTTTTGTCTTGAAAGTCATTTTTTTCATCAAATGACATTCATGTTAATGTTTTGGGTATATTTATCCATTTGAAAATAACTTTAAAAACTAAAGCATTTTTTCAATTTCTCAGTTTTAATTTCTAGAAATATCTATGAATAGAAACCCACATAATCGAAAAGTTCATGAACTGCTGCTGGACTAAATGATTTCTGAGACAGCTTGTTAAAGAAGGGAAATTTTGACTTAAGTATAGTGAGAAGAGCCCTGGCTGGTGTGGCTCAGTGAATTGAGCACTGGCCTATAAACTGAGAGGTCGCCGGTTCAATGCCCAATCAGGGCACATGCCTAGGTTATGGAGCCAGGTCCCCAGCCGGGGGTGTGCAAGAGGCAACCAATCAGTTCCTCTTCCTCACTTCCCTTCTCTCTGAAAATAAATAAATAAAATCTTTTTTTAAAAAAAAGAATAGTAAAAAGAAAAATCACAATGAGCAATTAAAAATACATATACATTTAGAAGAAAGTAAAATCCCAAATTGTAAGGGAATATATACGTGTGATTCAAAAGTACTGGAACTCATTTCTGGGTGGCTCATGGCACCAGGCTGCTAACTTTAACAAACTTCAGGCTTTGCTTTCATGATTGACGAGAAAGCAGCTCACACGGCTAATTGGATCACTATTTCTGTGTGCCAGTTGGGGCCCTAACTATCTCCAACTGGGTATTTTGCCACATTTTCCATCTAACCACAATCTTTGATCCCTGGTGTCCCCTGGGCTCAACAGGACCCAGGAGTAAGTCCTGCTGGGCACGCAGCCATGTGACCTAAAGACCTGGGGCCTCAAGCAGCTGCTGCAAGTTCAGGGTTTTCTTTACTCTTGCAAGAAGCCAACAAAACTCCCACAGGTGTGGCTTTCCCAGGAACTGACCGACTGCAAACAGCTTTTTTCTGCTTCACTGCCGGAATTCAACTGAAATACATTTCTGCTTGCCTACAGGTGTAAACCAAGCAGAACCAAAAACTAAAAAACAAAGTAGGCCTAACAAAAAAATTCAGAAAATAGGTTAACAGAAAAAAGCCCATGAAGAAAGTATGTCAATAATACAGCTCCGATCAAGATGACTCTACCAGTAGGTGAGAAATGGTCCAAGTGCACATAGTGAATCATCCAATGTTTAATGAAAGTCACCGACAAAGATGACTAAGTGCCCCCCCTAACCAACAAGTACACACAGTTGCCATGTGAGTGTACCTGCCCATGTGCATGTAGGGTTTTCTTCTCTGTGGGGGCAGGAGCTATACTAAGCCACTACAACTGCCACTGTTGGGTCACTTCCTGGAAGCATGACATTGTGGGCACATTCAAAAGGTCACGGTGAGAGTGCTTGTCACCGAGAGAGGGCTGTGCACAGAGGTGCGGGAACTACTGACACGAGAGCGCTTCCTGTGCGCAGGGGCGAGCTCAGGTGGTGTGTTTGCGGCCTGCCCTCCGTCGGAGGCGAGAGTCTGAGGAAGAGCAGCTGCGGATGGGGCTGAGGCGGGCGCTGAGCCCATCCTGGGCCCTGCTTCCGCTCCCGCCCCCGGAGAGAACGCAGACTCTCTTACACTGTTCTCAGGGAAGGTCTACACTGCCTAGAGAAATAAGATTTTTTTAATAGAATAAGTTTTTGTTTACAGTTTTCATTCAAGTTATCCCCAAATAATAGATTTAACCACTACCTCTTTATTATCTATAAACATAGATTTCATGCTATTTTCACTTAATATTCCAATGTTTGTCCATGTCAGGGGAATCCATTATAAATTCTCAAAGTACAGAGGCTGAGTCTGCTTAATTTTTGTAAAGCACCTAAGAGAGCTATGCATAAAAACAAAAACTATAATAAGTACCTTTTGAGGATGCAGTTTAAGGCATTTTAGAGATACTTAACTATATATAAAATATTTTTAGAGTTCAGACTCATTTTATATATACTTCTGGTACTAAGTACCTTTCCACTTTGGACAAGAAAGAGAGTCCCAAGGGGAACATGGAGCGAAGGCGCTTGGACCCGGGAGCCCAGGAGGAGAGGAGGCGGGGGCTGCCCCAGCCTCTGCGCACCCAGCCGCGGCCCTCGGGAAAACCACCTGCACCCAGAGGTCTACAGAGAGAAAGCCAGCGCCGCTCTCCATGAGGGCAGGTGCAGACGCATGTGGCTCTCTGGGTAAGTCAGCGCTTGATGTCTACGTAATCCATCCACACTACTGAGTCCAGGGTTCGAAACCACCGGAATGGTGGAACCTATGTTAGCAGCAGAAAGTAAGTATCTAAGCAGAAAAATTACTGCAAGTTCAAAACAAGCTCATAAAGTACCATGGTTCCTGGCAGGACAGGGCTAACATAGCAGGCCTGAGACTGCTATCCGTAAAAAGACCTACTTGTCCCACAGTCTGCAAACTTGATCCCAGCAGGTTCCCGTGACCCCCTACTAAGATTGGCTGCTGTGCTTACACTGTTCAAACAATGTGTTTTATGCGTAACACCTGCTCTCCTTCTGGGACTGTGGAATATTCCTATGTGCCAGGCAGAGAGTGCCCAGGTGACCCGGCCTGGTGAAAACCGGGGGCACCACGCCTCTCCCCCATGCTGACCCGACTTGCGCTGGAAGCATCAAGCACATCCTTGCGTCTCTCGGTTTCCTCCAGGCCTCACCCTCTCTGGCTTTCCCTCCGCTGACTTCACTCTCGGTCCTCCCACTGCAATAAACCACGGCTTTGAGTGCAACTCCATGCCAAGTCCTGTCGGCCCTCCCAGTGAGTCCTCCAACCTGGGGGTGGTCCCGGGCACCTCCACCCGAGTTACCAAAAACACAAAGGCAGCCTTAGCAGTACAACCAGAAATCTAGTGCCTAAACCAAACCCTAGGATGCTGCATATTGGTCAGACTGTACCTGAAACACCATACTTGGTGCTCAGTGTCACTGAACTACAGCCAAGGGAGCCAGGGATGTTTCACCTGAACAAGAAAAACTGAGGGAGACAGGTTCTCTTCAGCCCCTCAACAGGCCGTCGTGCAGGGGAAACAGGCTGAGCATGCATGGCTCCAAACTCAACAGCAGAACACTTCTGCCTCAGTACTAGAAAGAACTTCCTAATGATGGGAGGTGAAGAAAAACGCAGCTGTCCACCTCAGAAAACAGAAAGTTTCCTCTCCCTACAAGTTTTAAAACAGAGGCTGGGTGGCCACCTTTCAATAACCACAGAGATGCCACACTGGCACATGACCTCGCTAAGGCCAGGCCATCTTAAAGGTCTGCAATGATCTTTACAGGTCATCTCGCTGTGCAGAGAGCACTAGTCCAGCAAGTATCTGCCAGAAGTCTAGCCCTCTATTCTTAACATCTCGCCTCCTCTTAAAAGTTCCTGGTAAGTTAAATTCAAGAGAAGTTGTTCAGGAGCATCTCCACCAGAATGCTCAATGAGGACAGGCTTTTTTTTTTTCTTTTTTTTTTAGTCCTCTGGGCTTTTATTTTTTTAATCCTTAGTGCCTAGAATAGGGTTTATGAAAGAGAGACTGACAATAAGCAATTGATTAAATAACTTCGAAGTTATTTTAACCTTCAACCTTAATTTAAATCTGTCAACTTTAAATTGGTCCAAATTTTAATATGTGGAAGAGCAAACAAAAGAACAGGAGCAAAATCTGAAGGACAGAAATGAGCCCAGTACTCGTGAAATTCAATGAAAAAATGGCTAGCCAGATTGTGTGATTTCAAAACACTGAAAAATAAGCTGGTTGGAATGGTACTGAGTCAGGGCAAGCTAAGAAATGAGGCAGAAGAGTTTGGATTTTAGGCCATAGGGAACAGTAAGCCATTTCAGGGTTCTAAGCAAGTGAAGGCAACAAAACAGAAGAACTTAAGAAGGATTCAGAGGTGGGCACAGTTCCCTTCTTAAATCCAACCCAGCACTTTGTTCTACTTACCTCTACAGGTTCAATGACTTTGTTAAAAGCACTTGGGGTCCACTGCTTAGAGATGCTGACTTTGACATTGCTAAATGTTTTCCTTGATGCATGCAGCAAGGAATAACTACAAAAGAGAAGAAGTACAGCTGAATGAATAGCAAAGAAAACGGCATTCAGTAAAATCACATATATACTCCTATTGGTTTTATTCAAATTTAGAATTATTTTCTTTAAAAAAAGGAAGAGGACCTGGCCTGGGAACCAAAGGGTCGCAATTTGGATTACCCGTCCAAGCACATGCCAGGGTTGCAGGCCAGGCCCCCAGTAGGCGGCGCACAAAAGGCAACCACACACTGATGTTTCCCTCTCTCCCTCCCTTGCCCTCTCTATAAAAATAAATAAAATTTAAATACACGTATTTGTAAAAATAAAATAATAATTAAAAAGGGAGAGAAAAATACTGCTTTATAAGGACTACCAGCTGAAATAGTCTCTTCTAAGCAAAGGAAATAAATAACTAGTCCTCCTCAATATGAGCCCCCAAGTTCAACTGTAACTTATCCCGACCTGGAAGACAGAGCTGTGACTCATCCCAACCCACTTTAAATTATGGTTTCAGTTCTGTAAAACAAATGGAAGTCTTTAGCAAACAGTGGCTGCTCACTGCACTAGCCATTCACAGTAGCTTTTCCCTGGACTCCTGACTCTTCCTCATACTGCTGCTCCCCCCAACCCCTCTCAGATGGATCCCCCCTAAACCAAGCATCCAAAACTGCCTATCACCTCTTACATAATTAGAGAACCATCTCCCTCATTTCTACCTTAAAATAAAACAAATAAAAAACCATCATCCTATCTGTGGTACCTTCAATAAAGAAGAAAATCTATTCAGAAGAAATAGTCAAAACAGTTGAGACACAGGGTTATGAACAACACGCCCCAACTCCAAAAGGCCACTGAGGGCCACAGACTCATCAACACACACAACGCTGCGGTCACGCTAGCGCGTCGGGTATCTCCCCCGTTAGTCGAGTTCCTCACACCTGTCTCACGCCACCTTTCCTGCTCAGGGAGACAAAGGGCAGTCCCTGAATATGCCCTTTGTTCTCAAGCTCTTGGTTTTAACAAATAAAGGCCATTATATTAGGTCAGGGTTTCTCAACCACAGAACCCCTGACATTTTGGGCCCCCAAATTCTCTATTGTGGGCGGTTGTCTTGTGCATTGTAGGATGTTTAGCAGCATCCCTGGTCTCTACCCACTAGATGCAAGTAGCATGACAACCAAAAATGTCCCCAGACAGTGCCAAATGCAGGCAAAATAGCCCCTCAAGAACTGCTGTACGAGAGCTATCGAAAAGTACCCGATGAAGAGCTAGTCTGTTTCATGAGAGCCCACCAATCCCTGCACAAGCATCGCCGTGCAAAAAGCATCCCCCTCCAGGGCAAAACAACACCAGGAGGACAGCGCAGCAACCCCCGCACCTGAAGAAGGTGAGCAGGAACACGACGACATGATGGTGGCTGAGCCGGGACAGCAGAGTTCCTCTGCGAAAAAGGTCCGGCCAGGCCATGTTCTCCCCGACCTTCCTTCCAGCCTTCGACCTTCAGGTTTGGACAGTCAATGACTTACACCATTTCTTCCTTCTGGAAAGGCAAAGCACATTATTAACATTACTAAAAACAGGCATGTTATCCAAAAATTGAATTATTTAGACTTAGAAACAGTCAACATATAATCAGGCCTTGAAAGAAAAATCATGTGCACTAGCTGACACCACATGGATAATTATACTTTATAGCAGTTAGCTAGTCCTTTAACCAAAAATAAAAAAAAAAGTATCCTTGACCAAACAGTCCACCCTAATAGAAAGAACTCTCATACAAGCTGACTTTTTTAAAAAAATCACTCATTTTAACAGAAAAAAAATGAGCAAAGATAATGGACAACTCAGAAGAAATGAAACGGCTATAAAACTTACCAAATAAAAGCTCCAATCTCACTAGTAATATAAACAATGGTACTGAAAGCAAGAAAATGTTTGCATAGTGGAAACAGATCGATGTCAATGCGCCTCAAGGCCCAAACGGTGTGTGACTCTCACAGGATGTCGGCGGAAGCGAAGAGGAGTGCAGTGTTACCGGAAGACAGCCGACCGAGTTCACCAAGAGCCTATGGCCCAAAAATTCTATTTCCAGGGACCTATCCCTAAAGAAATACAAGACGTATTCAGGTCTAGTAAACAAAGTTAGTCTTCACAAAGTGTCAAAGGAGCTTTTTTACTTTAAAGAAATGACCTTGTGTCCGTCAAAAGGGAACAGGGGAGAGAGGCAGCCCCCTGCCCCGCCACCCGCCGTCTCTCTCCACTACTCGCAAAGAGAAGTCCCCCCTGAAAGCGGCGCCCGGGCTCTCTGACGGCCGAGAGGAACCACGCAGAAAGTAAGCATCTGCGCTTAATGTCTCCAGTCAGGAGTCTGCAGAAACAACCTAAACATGAAATGAGTGGAATGGTCAAACAAATTATTGTATATCCATATGGCCGAGTATTTTATGATCACCTAACACAACGGACTAATTTTTTAGTACTATGAGAAAATGTCATATAAAAAAGTAGGCTATGACATAAATCATCTCTATGTTTACATAATATTGACAAAGAAATAAGAAATAGACTAGTTCTCCTAGGTAGTAGGATTATGGGTAAACTTAATTTTCTATATACTTTCCTAAAAATTCTACAATAAATGTGTATATTACTTTTATAATCAAGAGGGAAACATCCACAGCACTGGAAAAGTCCTATAACTGATCTGCATATTAGGAAAAAATTACATTAACAAAGTGACTTGTATGATAAACACACTACAACAGTGAAGGCAGGAGACAAACTCAGGCGCTCCCACTACTAACACTCGCAAGTCACAGAGCTTTGCTTTCAAGGCTGCTCTCTCTGCAACTGCTAACATACTCCCGTTTCCACTCGCCAAAGCTTGGTAGATGTGTCCAAACTTTAAATGCTGAGAGACCCAGACTAAAGGCCAGTCTTCATAAACATTACATCTGTTTCACTCTCTAGCTATGAGCCTTTGGACATGTCAATCTCTATGAATCGCAGATGGTGTCCTGTAAAATGGCCTCTCTTCTAACGGTTATGTGACTAAGATAAATAATGTATGCAAGGAATTAAGATGATTATTTTACTCACTGATCTGCCCAGGATTAATCCCACATCACCAGAATGTAACTAACTTCACTCACCCATTCTCCCTGAAAAATGTTAACAAAATTATGAGCTGGGTAAAACTATAAAATTCCATTTACACAATGTAACCAACTTTCTGTCTGTAATTCCAGGAAGTTATAAAAACGAGAGCTATTAGTGTGACTGCTAAATTTACCTCCATCCCCAAAATTAAACATGAAATCCAAGTGGAACAACCAGAAGCTTTAACCATTCTTTATACAGCATAGCTCTGTGAACACACTCACACCTCAGGAAAGGTTATGGGTTATGAAATTCAGTAATTTATCAGGGAAAATAATTCCAAAAATGCACACTCCAAGAGATTAGAACTGCATCACTTCAGCAACAGTGGCTGTGTTTTGGGGGTGTACAGTTACATTAACAGATTTAATAACAAACAAGCTGTTTGAGACCATCTGCATTTAGTTTCTAAATAAAGCACCTTGCCCTGGCTGGTGTGTCTCAGTGGACTGAGCACCAACCGGCCTGTGAACCAAAGGGTCACCAGTTTGATTCCTAGTCAGGGCACATGCCTGGGTTGCAGGCCAGGTCCCCAGCAGGGGGTGTGCAAGAGGCAACCACACACTGATGCTTCGCTCCCTTTCTTTCTCCCTCCCTTTCCCTCTCTCTAAAAGTAAATAAATAAAATATTTTTTAAAAATAAAAATAAAACACCTTTTCCTTGGCTGCAGTGATAAGGGAGAAAAGGCTTAATAAGTACATTGGGGAAATGGTTTTAAACATTCACTTGCTATTGGCAGAATGACTCTTGAAATAAATACTATTATAACATCTGGTCCTATGTAATTATAATAATAATAATACCTTGCCTTTCTATACCCTCCATCACAGGAGTAATTTCTAATCCTCTATGAGCTCTGGGCGGAGGGAAACAAGAGTTTCCGCCAAGTCCAAGCCCATCCAGTACATCCAACTTCCAGAAGACCTTTTCCCTTCCTGCTCTGCATGCAGGCCGAACAAATGTCTCAATTTTTCAAGTGTGGGTAATGCTGTTGTAATTAATAAAGTCAAAATTCATTTAAGTAGCTTGAATTCACAGTAGGTTGTCATTTAGTATTTTCTTAGTCAATGGCTATTGAACATACATACAACTATAACAAGAGAACAAGAATTGTCTTTTTAAAAAAACACCTTATTAAAAATAAGATCCTTGCCATCGAAAAAGATCCAAAACCACCGAACCATGTTTTACTTTTCAAAGCAAGGTAAAAATCACTAACTCATCTAATTTGTAATGAAGCTTGTTTTGGGTTCTCGAAGATCAGCCATACGAGGTATTTTCCAGATGGAACATGCTGTGTAATCACTGTTGAATGAAAGATGGTTTTGCATGTAACACGTCCAGATAGAAGGCAATCTTCCCCTTATAAACACTGCATTGGAACACAAAAGATTCTAAAATTTTTACTTTCTATAGCTGCTTAGAGTCCATTCTAACACAAACAGTAAAACCTGCAGTTGCCCCGTGGCAAGCTGACCGCCGCAGAAGTAGGCTGCAGAGTGGAAGGCGGGGGGGGGGGGGGGGGGGTAGTGGGGGGCAGGAGAGGCAACGACACAGGCAAAGCATCTAGCAGACACCTCCTGAGGCCCAGCCTTCACCCGGCCCAGCCTGTTACCACACTCTGGGTATCTACACACTCGTGCAATAAACTTTGTTATAAAGTAGCCAACTCCTGCTTCCCCATACAATCCGAGTCCTCCAAGGTCTCTCAAAAAAAAGGGCAATCCTTCTTTTCCTCACAAACCACAGCTTCTTTGAAACTCACACCCTGGGCTTTACTGCTGGGCACGGCGCCGACGGCGTCACCCTCTGATCCCCCACCACTGCCACGTGCCGCCGTGTCCCCGCACACAGCGCCTGCTTCACTCTCTCTCCACCACCAACTGCACCTCATTTCACACCCTTGGGGTGATCGATCGATCGATCAATTGATCGAGTCCGGATCCGTCCAGTCCCGTCGTCTTCACACCACTCATCTTTTCCTCTCTCCCACAATAAAAACCTACTCCTGGTCAACACCTAGTCCCTGTCATCACCGGTAAGTGCATCACCTCCTCAAACTGGATTCCAAACACCCTCTCCTTCCAGAACTGCTTGTTTTCATTCACCGCACCTGGCAGTCCTTTCACCTCGGCAAGCCTCCTATAGCTCGGTCACCTCGCCGTTTTTTCCTTATCCATTATCCTCCTCTTGTCCTCATTTCCTTCTTTACCAACTCAGAGTCCGAACCATCTCCCTTAGGGGACATTACTTTTGCTTGCCTCTGTCCTCTTTCCGTGCGCCCAAGCAGTGGGGTTTGGCCAGAGAAAAATCACACAGGCCGCTGGTTTCATTTTTTAGATTCAAAACCACAAACCTCAAAGAGCGCGCAATACTGCCCAGCAAGTTTCCACTTCCCTAATCATCTCTGCCTTCTCAACCTCTAAGACAGCGATCTCACATTTCTCTCCGTAAGCTCCCAGCTCTCTCCTCTCCTCCCACCCAGGGCCACGGCTCTCCGCCAGCAGCAGCTCCCGGATCTACGGCTCTAGCTCAGACGCTCGGCCCCCACGTCCCTCCGCCTCTAAAACAACCCTCCACCCTCCCGCCCCCACCGCGCCCGACCTGCGCAAACAGTGTCACCATGGCTCCGCGTTGCCCAAGGTGAGCAGGCCTTACCCTTCATTTCTCCTTTTCTCTCAGCTTCCACATACAACCCATTATGAAGCCCAGTCTCTATAACCTCCAAAACACACCCCAAGCCCCCACTGCCACCACCAAGACAGGCCGCGGGTGTCTCCCACCGAGCCGGCCACGCGGCCTCCTGCACGGCTTCCCTGTTTCCACGTGTAGCCCGCCCCTCATTCCCCTCGCACCAGCCAGGAACGCACCCTACCGCACGCATCAGCGGCCACTCCTCGGGTAACAGGCTGCCGTGGCTTCCCAAGACTCAGCTAAAAACGCACGACTCTTTGCCACGGCCTCCCAGGCCTGCGTCGGCCGGTGCTCTGTCGCGAACCAGGGAGGCTACGGGGTGGGGAGCAGCGGACAGCTGGGGTTGGCAGAAAAGGGCTAAGGATGAAGGAGGGGCTGTCTGGGCAATAACTGGAAAGCCTGGGCTTAATAATTAGAAATATCTCACTTTAAACTTAGAGCTATAACTCCAGGAGGGGAAAAAATGCCCCTGAGTAGTAACAGTGGTTCTCTTACATACTACGCTCAAATGGATGCGCATCAGATGGGCAATTACTTCACTCCCCAGCCTGTTTTTACGTTTGCAAGGTACAAAGATTATGTGTCCTCAAAGCGTAGAGATGTAGGTGAAAATGTTAAAACGGCAGTTGAGTTCACCGACTCTGACAGCATCGTCTATGCTGTACTTTAGCACCCCGGTGCTCAACACTGGCACAAGTATCCTTGTATCCCACAGTATCTCACTTGAAGCCATTTGCCTACACCACGTAAGTCCTTGTATTCAAAACTGAAGTTTCCCTGCCATTGTTCCCTCTTCTGAAATTGCTTCACTACCACAAATGTAAAATACCTGGCACTTGTCCATAAAATTCTCTCATCTTATTCTGGGGTTCCTCAAACCACATCCTTCCTATTTTGAATACATTCCAAAACAACTAGTTTTCAAGATAAAGCCTTTCCCTCGCCTAGACAATAGGGACAAAACGGACCCTTCAGTAACACACTCGATCCCGACAGCAGGAGGGCTACTCGGCAGTGCACCGAGTTTACTTTTAAAGTACTACTTCTGGGTCATTTTCTGAAGGCAATCAAAGGTTAAGAGAAGAATGACGTCATCTGAAGGCACATGTGGCCCACGACAAGGCATAAAGTTCGAGCTGGAATCCAAGACCCTCCACTTAAATCCTTTGGTCCTCAGTGTCCTTATTTAAAGATCAAATGAGATAATTTAGAGAGAGTCCCTAGCACAGAGCTGGGTACACAGTAAACGGTCCACAAACAGGACACAGGGTTGGCGAACACGCGGAGGCTCCGGGAGAGTGGTGCAGGGCACCCAGGCTCCTTGCCCTTTTCCCACATCTCACCCATGCATCTCTTCCACCTAGCTGTTCCTCCGTTATATCCGTTTACAGTAAACCAATGATCTGTTTTGGTTTTGAGACACAGGCATGCTGATGAATTATTTAAAAGATATAATAACAGACTTCGGTCAAGATAGAGGTGTGGGTAGATATGCTTAGCCTCCTCACGCAACCACAGAAAGAATTACAGCTAAACCTCAAAACAAGTAACACCCAGAACCGTCAGAGTTTCGAGCTGTATGGAAGTCTGACGACCAAGGATTTAAAGAAGCCATATTCATCCAGACGGGTAGGAGGGGCAGAGACACAGTGTGGGGCAGAAATGCGGTCCCCACATTCACCTGTGGTGGATAAAAATTGGGAGGGATATTTTGGGAGCTAGCAATCGCAGCCCCAGGCCGGACCGCACAGCCCAGAGTTCCAGCACCAGGAAGATAAACCCCCATAACTTCTGGTTGTAAATACCAGTGGGGGTTGAGGCAGTGGAAGAAACTGCTGGATTTTCAGGAGACTCTGCTTAAAGGATCCACAAGGACTTAAAACATACACAGACCCTCCCCCTCTGGGATGCAGCACTAGGGCAACAGGTGGAAAAGCGCCTGTCACACAGGGCGAGTGCCAGGCAAACCTCCAGGGTCCAGGCAGCAGCACTGTCCCCTCTCCAAACCCTCCCCCCACACAAAGCCACCAAGTGGTGAAGTGGGTTGTGGCCCCCAACCCCTCAGCGATCACCTAAGGCTCCACCCCACACAATTTACAGGTGTGTATTCTACAACAGGCCATGCTACTAAGACAGGGAGTCAAAGCAGCTCTACCTAGTACACAAAAACCAACACAAGGGGGCTGCCTAATCAAGGAGACAAAGAAATATGGCCCAGATGAAAGAACAGAACAAAATCTCAAAAAAGAACCAAGATAACCAACCTATCAGATGCAGAGTTCAAAACACTGGTGATCAGGATGCTCAAAGAACTCACTGAGCACAGCAACAAAATAAAAAAGTCCTAGGAAGAAATGAAGGTTACACTAAGTGAAATAGAGAAAAATCTGCAGGGAACCAACAGTGAAGGGGATTAAGCCAGGACTCAAATCAATGAGATGGAACATAGGAAGAAATAATCATGCAACCAGAATAGCAAGAAGAAAAAAATTAAAAAGAATGACGATAGTTTTAGATGCCTCTGGGACATTTCCAAACATACCAACATCTGAATCACAGGGATGGCAGAGAAAGAGCAAGAAATTGAAAACTTATCTGAAACAATAACAAAAGAAAACTTCCCTCTGTTGGAGGAGGAAACAGACAAGTCCAGGAAGCACAGAGAGTCCCATACAAGTTGTACCCAAAGAGGCCACACCAAGACACATCGTAATTAAAATGCCAAAGGTTAAACAAAAAGAGAGAATCCTAAAAGCATCAAGAGAAAAGCAGAGTTACCTACAAAGGAGTTCCCCTAAGAGTTTCAGCTGACTTCTCAAAAGAAACCTTGAAGGCAAGAAGGGACTGGCCAGAAGTATTCAAAGTGCTGAAAAACAAGGACCTACACCCAAGATTAGTCCACCCAGCAGGGTTATCATTTAGAATGGAAGGGCAGATAAAGTGCTTCCCAGGCGAGGTAAAGCTAAAGGAGTTCATCATCACCAAACCGTAATTACATGAAATGTTAAAGAGACTTATTTAAGAAAAATATCAAAACTACGAACATTAAAATGGCAACAAATTCACAACTACCGACACTAAATTTAAGGGGGGGGGGAACCTAAGCAAACAACCAGAACAGGACCAGAATCATAGAAATGGAGATCATATGGAGGGTTATCAGCTGGGAAGGGGAAAGGGGAGAATGGGGGAAAAGGTACAGGGAATAAGAAGCATAACTGGTACATACAAAATACACAGGAGGAGGTTAAGAATAGTATAGGAAATGCAGAAGCCAAAGAACCTATATGCACGACCAATGGACATGAACCAAGGCAGGGCGGGCAGCGGGGGGCATTGCTGGAGGGAATTGGGGTAACCAGTGGAGGGGGGCAAAGAGGAATAAATTGGGACAACTGTAATAGCATAATCAATAAAATATATTCTTAAAAAATAACAATTCATGTAAGGATGTTATCAATGAACTTATATTATCAATATTTCCAGATCTTGAATATAAGAGAGTGGCAAATGATCTTTAGGGGCCTTCCTGTCCTATTTATTTTGAGATAAATAGGATAATTCATCTACTTCTATTTAAAATTTTGGTATAGAGAATTAAAAAATGGGAAAGAAATAATTCAAGCACCAAGGCATTGAAGAAAGAAGGTGGCAATTAAAAATGAGATTTTGATCGTCCCAGGAATTTGTTCTTGTCGCTATAAACATTTCAGTGAAGTTACTACGACATCACCCACAATCTTACATTTCTGAAAGCCTCGAGGACACATTCCCATTGTCCTCTCTCCGTCAAAAGTGAAAATAGACCCCACTCTGCAAATGAGAATACTGAAGGAATGACGAATAATTAGTTTAACCAAATTCCTTGAATGCGAGCAGTGTTATCAAAAAACAAAAGCTAGAATCTCCACTAACCCTCTTCTTCCTCTTTGGTCTCCGTATATCCTTTCCAAAATAGTCCCCACCCTGCCTGAAAAGTATCCCTTACCTGGGCTAAACTACGAGACTGCACAAGAGCCCCCGCCGCCACGCGGGCCGGGCCGCCCGCTCTCCCGTGGGCCCTCCCGGAGCCTCGGCTGCGGTCCTCGCCCGCCGCGCCAGGCCCCGCAGCACCGGGGGCCGAGGGGCCAATCTCGGGGGTGGAGGGAGCAAGTGGCTGGCCGGCCCAGCCGGCGACGCCACACCCACCGGCCGCCGCCCTCCAAATCTCCGCCTCATCCCTCGGACCTGCCCGCCCCAGGGCGCACCAACCCGCCGCCCTAAGCCGGGTTCCAGCCCCTTCTGAGCGGCTTGCGCACCCGAGACCCGCAGTGATCGCTGCTCTCCGCCCCGCCTTCCCGTTCACTCCGCTCGGGTCCGTTGCCTGCCGGCCACCTTCGCCTCCCCCACCGCCTCCGCCACCGCCGCCACCTCACCCCCGGCCCTGCGGCCAGGGTTTCCGGGCGCCCACGTGACCCGCGAGGTCCCCGCGGCATGCTGGGAGTTGTAGTCCCACCGCAAGGGCCCCGGGGACTGGATGGGTGGGGCTGCTTCCTGTGGCGGGCGGAGGTCCCTGGGGACCTGGCTGCTGAGCGGGAATGCAGTTCAGGAATGTTAGGGGGAAATCCGTGAAGGAGAAATGAGATATAACCTCTCGAGGAGGGGAAGTGATGCATACATCACCTTTTTTTCCAAAAAGCTCTATTATGCTCTTTGTTTTCATAGACAGCAACGTGTTGCTAAGTGTACTACTGACCTGCCACAGGGCATGGGCTTTAGATTGTTTAACTAAGGACCCACAGCCTACCGCTATCACTCACGGTTCTACGTCCCACCCCACCCACCCAAACAAATAAATGAAAGTTCAGAGCCTGGCAGCCTTGACCGAAAATTTAAAGCCTTACAACACTCAGCTTGGACAAAGTTTTCTCTGTCCTCCTGGGTTGCTTTCGACTGTTGGGGAAATAGAATTAGGAAAGAAAACAAACTCCAATCCAGGAAACGTCTCCACAAAAGCAGGAGATTGATTACAAAACAGTTTTATTATTGAATAAGCTTTCATCCAGAATGTGATGCATCCCACTGGCAATGCACTAAGATTGCAAATAGAGAAAGGCATCTCCCGTTTCATAGCCACACCCTCACAGCCAAGCCAGTACAACCCAGTACAACCGTGTTCTCAAGATAATCACTAGCCCTCAAGTAAGAGCACTTGACAGGACTTGTCACACGCAGGTCATCCCAACTTTATTACAGTAACTGGAGAGGCTGCCTGTGTTGGCTTATCCAGAAGAGAAATAAAGTTCTCATAACTTTAGGACAGGACACAGTTTTGCAGATGGGAGCAAGGTGCCCACCAAAGTTAGGCTCCTGCCCCCACACAGGAACTGAGAGGCAGGGACACTATGTCCCTGCATGTTCGCTTTTCAAAGACGTTTGCCAGGGCCTGAAGGAATGTTCCTGAGTTATGAGACTAGCCACAGGTTATCATTTGGCCATTATAAAGATATACATGTATTTGAAAAGGACACAGAAAGAAATTTTGAAAGAAAAGAAAGAGAGGGGAATTTATGCAATGCAGCAGTAGTTGTGTTTCCAGTCACCTACGGGTGTAGCTGGGGAGATGTAAACAATAAGTCAGCCAAAGTTTTCGCCTTTATTAAAAAAAAAAAATACATAGTAGGATATTACTCAGATTTAAAAAGGAAGGAAATTCTGATACGTGCTCAATATGGATGAACTTTGAGAACATTATACTGAGTGAAATAAACCACACACAAAAAACCAATATTGGGTGATTCCATTTATGTGTGGTAATCTAGGTAATCAAATTCATAGGAACAAAAAGTACAACAGTGGTTACCAAGGGCAGGGGTCCCGAGAGAGGGAATGGGAGTTACTATTTAATGGATACAGAGTTTTAGGTGGGGAGAAAGAAAAAGTTACAGAGATGGATGGTGGTGATGGTTGCATGAACTGTGAGTATATTTCATACCATTGAACAGCACACTTAAAATGATAAAATGTATATATACTGTGAAGTCCACGTGTGTATATGTAAATATACGCATGTGCGTGTATAAAAAATAAGTGTACATCCTGGTCACCGCCACCCAGAATGCCTCTGCCCCAGAGCCCAAGCTATAGAGTCTGTGCACATAGAGTCACGCTGATGGAGAGGACAGAAGCGGGGAGAGGCAGAGTCTCTCCTTGGCTTCCATGACTATCCGTGCATTTTACCATTTGATTTCCACTCTAAATGTTCTTCAAATACTGCATCTAATCTGCCGGCTTTTTTTTTTTTCTTTAACAGTAACCATTACCATGAGAGAAACCTTTTGACGTCTAACCTCACTGACAGTGGCATGTAAGGGGTTTTGCGCCCAGCCCTCCCCTCCCCCGCCCATACACTCGTGGTGGATCTCGACCTACATTTCATCTCCAAGTGGCAGACATACGACCGTGGCTCTCAGAGCGGCAGCCTGCAGCAGCAGCGTTTGGCAGTGTCCTGTGTTTTCTTGCTCTACCTGCCAGCATTGGGTTTACCTTACTCAAAAGAGAAGCTCCTGGAAATTGATCCGTAAATGAAATTTGGAGTAATATAAATCATACTTTAAAGGTTATCTGAACGAATCATAGAAAGAAGTGTTCTTGGACAGTGAACAAATTGTCCTCAATTTCAGTGCTTCTCGATCTTTCTAGACCTCAACCCACAGTACGAAATACATTTTACATCGCCCCTCCCCCCATACACAAGCAGGTCTACAACTGATCCAAACAATTCACAGAACAAGGCTGAGCCTTATACAGGAGACTTGTTCTGAAATGTTTTGCTAACCTTTTCTGTAAAAATGCTCGTTGCAACCCACTAAAACAGATTTCATGACTCATTAATAGATCTCAACCCATAGTTTGAAAACTCTATACCAATTTAAATATTTTATCTATCCGGATGTTTCTGTTTTGCATACTGGACCTATGGCTTAACTGCCAAATGTTACATTTTCCATAGTGGAGAAAAGCTAGTCTTTATGTTCTGAGAACCAGTAATTCTTCCAGACTGTGTGGGAAGGAAAAAAATAAGGAAATTTTACCTCGGCCTCATGTCTCTTCTGCCGGCAACGGGGACTGATAAACTCATTTTCTAAGGCCTAAAAATTAACCTCTGTTCTGTGGTACATTGAGGGAGAGAACCAGAAATGTTTTCCCAGCTCTTTCCATACAAATTCGAAGTTCTTTTAGTTTTTTAATCTTTTCTTTGGACCACCTCCTTTCTCTTAGAAGCTCCTCAGGAAGAGTAATTCAAATCCACAGAACAATGAAAAGACTCAAGACTCAGATCTGTATCCTTTACAATGTAACGTTTAAATTGTGTTCTCTGCACTCGAGCCCCCGCCCCGGCCACACGGGGGACAGCAGGAAACGTCGGTGGGGCGGGGCGGGGGGGGAGGGGCGGGGAGCAGGTGCTGCAGAAGAGAAGGTGAGTCGAGCGAAGGAGCTGGCTGCTTCACTGGCATTGGCCGAGTTCACCGGCCTTGCAAGGCGCCAAGAGTTCGCAGACTGTGCGCGGGGAGTGCTGGCCAGCGCCCCGTCTGGGCTGGGGCCCAACGGCAGCCCCAGGCTCCGGGGCAGTGGGAGGGCTTCGCTTTCCTTTCACTTTCTCGGGCCGCCAAACCTGACACCTGGGGGCAGAACTACAGTTCCCACCACGCAGCGAGGCAGCAGGAAGAAGGGGTCCTGAGGGCCGAAAAGGAAAGAAAAGAAAACCTTACCTGCGAGCAGAGGTGAGAGGCACAGGGAAGCGACGGGTGAACCAGGAAGGTGAAGGCTGCGGGATGCGGGATGGAGGGCGTCGCGGGCGGACACTGCTTTCCCCGTGCAGGGCATGTGGGCTGAGTTAAAGGGGCTTTTGTGGAAACCCTGAGGACTTCCGGGAGGGGGGGGAGACGGTAGATTTCAGTTCAAGATCTAGTGATAAGACACCGGAAGTGGAATGACTTTCTTTATTTGAAAAGTCAGAGGTGGGGAAAAAAGTGGTTTTGTTGTGTCTCTTGTTTGCTGGATCATTGAGCCATAGGTGATTTCGGAGGCGTCCGAGAGAGAGGTAGTGGGTTTCTACAGATTGGATATTTGTGCGCATTTTAATTTGTGTAACGATGCAGACTTGTCCTTTTCTATGACTTTAAAGAAGGCTGAAGAATAAAACTGGGGGAAATGAAGAAGGGTGTCGTATGGCAGGAGCAATTTGCAGCACGTCAAATTCGATCATCAAATGGGGTTAGGTTTCATGTGTTCTTACGAGGCAATTGCTGAGGAGACCCAACAGGATCACCTGTGAGGAGCAGCTGGGGCCTGGGGGTGGTGGCCTGCAGTGGCTACGCTCGCTGCTCCAAATATCTGATGGGCTGGCCTGTGGAATCGGAATCTGCCCAGACCAGGCACAGCATGCGAGTCAACGAGCATAACCCCAGGGAGACAGATTTCAGCCCCATGGAAGTTAGAGCTGTGCACGCAAAGTGGATTGAGTCCTCAGGATCCATGATAGTGAAGCACGGGTAGATAGTTAAGCAGACATACTGAAGGTTTGAATAAAATTTCAGGGGAGTGCCTACATTGATCACCATTTCCCAAACCTGGCTGGGCATCAGAATCCCCTGGGGAGGGGGGGGGTGTGTGTGTGTGTGTGAATATCTTTAGCAGATCTGGGATGGGCTTCAGGAATATATCTTTTTTAACTATCTCCCCAAATAATTCTGATATAATCAGTTAGCTTGGGAAACACTGTCACTTAGAAACTTTATTTCCCAGCTTACGCTCAAGTATGCCCCATCCTCCATTCTCACAACAGTTTCCTTTTTGAATATACTTAAAATCTGAATTTCCTGGTCAAGAAAAATGAGGTGCCAACCAGAAGAACAAGGCCACGTCACACCTCCCTAAACTGACTCCTCTGTCAAGTCTTGTGGGTCTGTGTTGCTGGCTGCCTGGATGTTCCATCTCCCCGTAGCTGGGAGTCCCTCTCCCAATGAGAACTGGGAGAGGGTGACAGTGAGGCATGTCCTCCAACTGATGACTGGCAGGGAGGACACTCCTGGGGGAACCTCCTCTGCCACCCTCCTGCTGAGTGGGCACCCAGTGACGCCAGGGACACCTGGTCTCAATGACCGAGAGTGCCATCAATGCGGTCATCTGACTGTGTTGACTCTGTAGAGGGCCCAGCACAGGATGGCAGTAGAACCTCTTCATTCTGCAGGCAACCCACCTGGGACAGGTGTGAGCTGTGAGAACATCTCTCTTGTACTTGACCACTAATGAGTGTCCTTCCTCCCCGAGGATGGCAGTACTGTAGAAGCAATGATCTCCCTCTGTCTTGTCCTGTCCTGGACCCCAGGGGCCTCGAACAAGTGCCTAGCGCCTGGCAGGTGCTCACTGAAGACGCGCTGAGTTACCTCTTTTCTTCCCAGCTCCAGTGCAGGCAGCAAGGGCCATGCAATTCTCCAGCTCAGCCAGGGCAGCAGATGAGAACTTTGACTATTTGTTCAAGATTATCCTCATCGGGGACTCCAACGTGGGGAAGACGTGTGTGGTGCAGCATTTCAAATCTGGGGTCTACACAGAGACGCAGCAGAACACGATTGGGGTGGACTTCACCGTGCGCTCCCTCGAGATCGACGGCAAGAAAGTGAAGGTCAGAGGGACGTGGGTTTCACTCCTCCCCTTGTAGCCAGAGTTCCTGACACCGCAACACAGGCCTGAGGGGTAAAAGATTTAAATGTAAACATGAATTCATAAAAGCACTAGGAAAAAAACGTAGGTGTATTTATTTTTATCATTGTGGAATGAGGAAATCGAGCATCTCAGTAAGACGAGAAACCCAGAAGCCATCTGGGAAAATATTGCTCAGTTTAAGTAGCTCAAGGTCAATTTTTTTTTTTTTTTTTTTTTTTTTTCCTGAACAGGTTTTATTACACAGAGGGGATAGGGCTCAGTCCTTCTTGGCTGCTGACTTCCTCATGGCTACAAGGACATTGCTCAGCTTCTCTCTCTTCCTCTTGGCACGGGTGTGTGTCCCCATGCTTTTCTTGATGAATTTCAGGTCTCTCTTGTCCTTAGAGACTTTGAGCAGCTCCATGGCACGCTGTTCAAAGAGGGCAAAGCCACACACCTCTTAGATCATGTCCCGCACGAACTTGGTGTGCTTGGTGAGGCGCCCCCGGCGGCGGCTGTGCCTCGGCTTGCTCACGTTCTTTGTCACTTTGTGGCCTTTGTTGAGGCCCACGGCCATGGGGTAGCAGAGGGCCATGGCTGCTACTCCTTAATGGCTACCGCGGTGGAAGCTCAAGGTCAAATTTTTATACTTCTATATGACTATATAAAGGTCAAATTTCTACATGTTCAAAATACCATAAACCAAGTCAAAACTGAATGACAGGTTGGAAAGGAATATTTGTATATATGGGTCTAGACAAAGAGCTAATTTCTTTAATGTGAAAAGAGCCCTGATAAATAGCTAAGAAAGGCTCAACAGCCAAATACAAAATGTAGGCAATTCACAGGCTGAACAAAACTGCTGTTTCATAAATTTTATAAGAAGTAGCTCATACAGTTATGTAAAGATGTAAAGGTGCCCATCCTCATTCATAATTAAAGAAACAAACTAACAATGAGATACTATCTTATTCCCATTTGATTAGAAACGATCAAAATGCATTTGTAAAAGTATAATAAATGGATCTTGTTTGGGATTCTGATTAAATAAAAACAACAACGCAAAAACATTTTGAAGACAATCAGGAAAATTTTCATTTTGGCTGGGTATGAAATGATACCAAGGAATGATCAAAAAGTTTACTAGCAGTGATAATGGCATTGTGGTTATGAAAGAAAACGTCCATTCTTATAGGGGTGTATATCAATGTAAATAGGGATAAAATGACATGAAGTCTGGGATTTGCTTTAAAATAATACCTCAAAGAAATCAACAGAATAGACAAAATGTTGCAAAAATGTTAATTACCATCAATTCTGGGATGAAGGGTATATGAGAGTTCATTCTTCTCTTATCTCCAGTCTTCTGTATGTTTACAAACTTTCTTAAAAAATAAATTTTGTAAATGATGTAAGTATACGAAGACACAGCACCCTCAGACACTGTTGGAGGGTGTATGAATTGGTGCCATTGCTCAGGATGCAACTGAAAAAACAGACTCACAGGCCCCAGCCCCGATCTCCTGAATTTAGGTGTCTAGCAGTGAGACCCAGAAGCTGTGTTCTGCAGAAGACTCAGGTGGGCACGTTCCCATCGGGCGTGGGGGCTCCTGATGCCACCCCTTTCCCGCCCTTCTCCAGATGCAGGTGTGGGACACCGCAGGCCAGGAGCGCTTCCGGACCATCACCCAAAGCTACTACCGCAGCGCCCATGCGGCCATCATTGCCTACGACCTCACCCGGCGGTCCACCTTCGAGTCCGTTCCTCACTGGATTCACGAGATCGAAAAATATGGAGCTGCGAACTTGGTCATTATGCTGATCGGTATGGTGTTTTCAAAGGATGTAACTTTGCTTCCCCCCTCTGCTGACACTCAGCTTTTTGTGTGTTTCCAGTGGCAGGGGAACATGAAATCGAGAAGGGCAGACAGTGGGCAGGACCTCAGAAAGCATCTGGCCCAGAAATGCCCATCAGATTCACTTGAAAATGAGAGTGGGGTGGTGTGAACTTGTTAGGGATACAGATCGCAAGGCCCCACCCTTGAGTTCCTCTTTCTGGAGACCTGGGATGGCGCCCGGACTTCTAAGTGCAGGGCGCCCCCACTGACTGGCTGCACACATCTGTGTAGGCCACGTAGGAAGTCCTCCGAGGGCTGAGGTCCACAGGGTCAGGTGGCTCCAAATCCCTGAGGGAGCCGCTCAGATGAATGACTAAACACTTAGTAAGTTCCGGGTACTGTTCCACCTCCTCTCCTGAGTCAGGTCACTTAATCCTCCCAATCATCCCAAGAAGCAGAGACGACTATCCTCGCTTCACAGATGAGGAAACCGAGGCATCCACGGGTTAAGTGCCCTGCCAAGTAGTTCCACCTGGTTACTCACTGACACATGAGGCAGGGTATGAACCAGGCTGTTGGGTTCCCGCAGTCCCCAGTGGGTTCAGGTCCTTTCTGACCATTTTGCAATAGCTGATTAGGCTGGGCCTAGGCTTCAGGGTCAGGCAGATACGGGTTCAAATCTCCCTCTCTGTGTGAAGTGGGATTTGTAACTTACTCTCTCTGAATTTCTGCTTCCTCGTCTATAAAACTGTTACCTACTTCTAAAATATCATTGAGTTGAAAGGATTAAATAAGGTGACATACAAGGTCTGTCTGGAAAAAATCCAGCCATTGTTAACATAATGAGAATGGTTTGCGCAACATCGATATAACCTGGCAGCCAAGGAGAGTGGACTGGAATGCGTATGTGTGAACAATGACAACCTCACTGTACTAGTCAGTGGGGGTGGTAGACACCTTTGAGTGAGTATGTGCACTATGCGGCCCTCACATTCAAGGTGACTGAGCAAGTAGAGCAATGAATCTGCGTCAAATTTTGCATTAGGCTCAGACATTCCTTCGTGGAAAGTATTCAGATGATTCAGAAGGCTTTCGGGGACACTGCAATGAGTCCAACACAAATAAAAGTGTGGCACAAACGCTTCAAAGATGGTCTAGAATCTGTGGAAAATGATCCACGTTCTAGAAGGCCTGCAACAAGCAGAACACCTGAGAATGTTGAACATGTATGGGCTGCCATGAACAAAGATCAGCGACTGGCACTGCGAGAACTAGAAGCTGATCGGGGGCTTCCAAAAACTACTGTGTCTGAGATTTTGACGCAGAATCTTGGCATGAAACATGCCATGGCAAAATTTGTTCCACGGCTCTTGCTACCAGAGCAGAGAAAACATTGTGCTGCAGTTGTTAGTGACTTGATTCAAACCACTGCCAATGAACCAGATTTCCTCCAGTAGGTCATAACCAGAGATGAATCATGGGTCTATGGCTATGGTCTGGAAAGGCAGGCCCCGTGGTCCCAATGGAAGTTGCCTGGTTCTCCACGCCCGAGGAAGGCGTGGCAAAGTCACAGCAAGATCAAGACCATGTTAACTGTGTTTTTTGGTTGGGAAGGTGTTGTCCATCATGAGTACACCCCTCTGGGCCAAACAATTAATAAGAAGCACTACCACAGTGTTCTTCGTTGGTTGAGAGATGCAATACAAGGAAAACGGCATGGCTATGGGCAACTGGTGATCAGCAGCTTCTTCACCACGACAATGCACCCGCTCATGCATCACGTCTCGTGCAGAGTTTTTTGGCAAAACATCAAGTCAACCAGGTGACTCAGCCCCTCTACAGCTCAGGTTTTGCGCCCGGCGACTTCTGGCTTTTCCCAAAATTAAAATCATCTCTGAAAGGGAAGAGATTTCAGACCATTGATGACATTCAGGAAAATACAACAGGGCGGCTGATGGCAATTCCAACAAAGGATTTTGCAGTGTTTTGAACAGTTGAAGAGATGCTGGGAGAACTGTGTGAGGTCCCAAGGTGCCTACTTTGAAGGGGACTGAGGCATCATTGTCCTATGTACAATGTTTTTTGTATCTTCCTCAATAAATCTCTCTACTTTTCATAGTACATGGCTGGATACTTACTGGGCAGACCTCGTTTATAAGGCACTCAGAACAGTGCTAAGAATTCAGTAAAGGGAAGCTGTTGTTTTCTGGCAAAGCAAAGACAAACAGAGAAGGAGCAGCAGCCGCGACCCGCGGGGACGGAAGGAAAGCCCGCCGATGGCAGCTCCCAGAGAAGGGAAGCTTAGGCGTGAATAACATGCACCTCAAGGGCTGATCATGTCGATGAGTTTCCCCAGGAAGACGGACTGGATCTCTTTTCCGTTAAGTTCATGTGCTTCCCAGGAAACCCTGAAGCAGTTCTTCCCCGGGGCCCCGAAGCCCGTGAGCAAAGCAGTGCCTCCTCCCTGGCTCCCTCCCAGCCGCCGCCCTTAGCCGCCCTGCTCTGCGGCAGGGACCGGTGAGGCCGCCCGCGGTGATCAAGGCCGAAGCTGCAGGATCTCCAGGAATCTCACAGTTTCCTGGGTGTTTATACCGTTGTCTGTCTTTTGAAACTACCATCTCTGCCCCAGTTCTTTATTTTTTAATTTTTAGAGCAAAAGGAAAGAAGGGAGAAAGAGAGGGAGAGAAACATGATATGAGAGAAACAGCGATCGGTTGCCCCTCTCACTCCGCCAACCCAGGGCCTGGCCAGCAGCCCAGGCATGCACCCTGACTGGGGATCGAACCGGCGTTCTTTTGGTTCACAGGCCCCTGCTCAGTCCACTAAGCCACACAGCCAGGGCTCTGCCCTAATTCTTAAGTGGTTCTAGAAATGCCCCCTAAGGAACGTAAGATCTAGACGTGTCCCCAGTGCCCCTGTCATCTGAGAGCCGATGCAACAGGGCGCTCTGTTTTCTGTCGATAGCCTCCTTGCCTTCGTCTGGAGAAGCCAGGCAGGTGGTTTGTTCCTCACAGCAGTGCCCCTGCCACGTTCACTGTCTCTTCCATTCTGTCCCCACATTTGTTCACACAAATATCTCCTACTCTCTCACTATATCCCACCCCAGCGGCCCCCTCACAGCCACTCAAATGGCAGTGACGACTGTGCCTTGATTTGCGCCATTCCCAGGAAGCCACGCTCCTTGGCAGCGTCCCTCTGTTCAGGATCCGCGCTGCCCCGCCCCCCTCCAGATGGCGCGCCGATTCCCGACCACACTGGACGATCCTGCTTTTCCTCCAGGAGGTGGCCGCAGGCCTCTAACCCTTTTCTCCCCCTTCAGCTGGTTCCTGGCCTCTCAGCCCCTCGGACCCTCCGTCAGAAGGCGGGTTCAGGAGCCAGCTTCCTTCTGTAGGTTGTGAGGGATGTTTTGTCTCACAACTTCCTCCGGCACCTGTCCCAGCCAAGAAAACACACTCACCTCCGGCCCGTTCCTCGCAGCTCTTACAGATCTTAGAAACAGTGAATTAAAATAGTGGCTCGCTTTCCGTTCATCCATGATTTCATTTTCAGTAAATTTGCCCTCACATCACTATTTGTGAATGAATACATGTGTGCATATTGCTGAACTAGTGTGTTCTTTTTTAAGTCCATTTTTTAAAAAATCAGGATCAGTTACTCAATGCAAAAAAAAATCAGGGTCAGTTACTCAATGCAAAAATAAATATTTGCTTCTCTCTCACTCCCAGGGAACAAATGTGACCTGTGGGAAAAACGGCACGTTCTGTTCGAGGACGCCTGCACCCTGGCTGAGAAATATGGCCTCCTGGCTGTCTTGGAGACGTCAGCCAAGGAGTCCAAGAACATAGACGAAGTCTTCGTGCTCATGGCCAGGGAGCTGATCGCCCGGAACAGCCTGCACCTGTATGGGGACAGCGGCCTGAACACCCTGCCCCTGGACTCCAGTCCAGTGCTGGTGGCCCAGGGGCCGAGTGAAAAGACCCACTGCACTTGCTGAATAAGTTCACGAGGCCGGTAGCACCTACACATGGCCGTCTCTACAACCAAAGGTAGCTGGATCTCTTAGTGCCTGCTGAGTAGCATTTCAGACCCAAGTGTAGCCTTGCCGCGAGTCCTCTGTCCTCAACTCCAACCAGAGGCCCCGACGGTTGACTCTGAGGACAGGGGACACCACTGTCCTTCTTGATTTTGCCTTGGACTTAAAGGCACAGGGGTAGGAGGACAAGTTTGGCTCTTTTTTATCTTCCCTTTTCTGCATCCACAACCCTTCAGCTGTGTTTCTACTGAATTTGCTTCTTGCTTGAAGAAGAGGGTAGTGAAGGAAAGAGGAGAGTACGGGGGCGGGGGGCACCAAAATACCCAGAATTTATTTATAAAAAAATGTGTATTTATTCTTACATGTGTAAACATTAGTCACCTTCAAAGTACACTCCATTTGATGCAATACCCCTCCTGAAATGTTACTTCACTGCTCAAAACAGTTTTTGAACTCATCAGTTTTGGTGCCTTTTAGTGGTTCCATTTTTTATGTCTTCCACCTCGGCAAAAGGTTTCCCTTTGAGGACTTTTTTAATCCAGGGAAACAAAAAGAAAAGGGTCAGGGTGAGAGATTGGATGATTATAAAGGGTGGGGCATGGAGGGTCTTGTTTGGTCAAAAATCACTGAACACCCAGCGCAGTGCGGGCAGGTGAGCTCCTAAATCACCCATCATTAGATGGGCAAATGTGTTGAGTCTTCAGAAAAATTCACTGAGGCCGAACGCAGCCTCTCACAACAATGCCATCTGGTCCACTCATACAGATGGGTTCCTAGAACACTCATGTAGCTGGGGAAGCCTGTACTACAAGAAGCCCACCCTCCAGAAGATAATTCCGGGTTTTTTGGGTCCCCCCGCCTCATATCGAGAGGGGAGAGGATGTTTGGAACATTCTGGAACAGTTAAAACAGCTCAGGCACGCAAGAATGGAGAAAAAAAGCCTGCGATGACAAACCAGAATGCTGTCAACATTTGCTTCCTTACAGTCACACTTCAGGGCTTTAGTTCTGGGAGCAAAGCCTTTTGACACAAAGACCGTAAGTACCTCTTGCCAAATGGTCAAGGAGCCATGTGATGGAGATAGAATTGGATTTCACTTCGTTCTAGCTGGACTGATTTGACCACCTTCATAGAATGTGGGAGATACCTACCATTTCTTTATAAAATACCAAATTAGCTGCTGGGTAGAAAGCACTCCTGAACTGACATTAAATGGGCTCCAAGGTGAGGAGCAAACCACCATTGACCTCACAGTGTGGCCCTGGACGCACCACGGACCCTCAGGGACCTGTGAGCAATGCACCGTTGTTTTCCGAAGTTCCCCGATGGTTGTTGCTGTGGCGCACCTTGCAGTCACAGCAAGAACCACAAGGACCCATCTAGCCACTACATTGGCTCCCAAAGCGGAAAGGTCTGGGGGGGTGCTCCTTGGGCCCCTGGAATGCCCCCAAGAGTTGCCAGCTGGCAGCACCCCTCTGAATAGGCTGAGACCGGCACAGAACCAATAGTCACTAGTTACATGCAGCCACTGAGTACTTGCAGGCAGAGGCCGAAGTGGCTCACGCCAATTTTCCTTCATTTCTCTGCAAATCAGTCTCATCCAATACTCTGGAAGACACATCAGCTTCTAGGGTTATGCACTCCGGGGATTATCTGGAATGAAAATATTCCTACCAACAGGTTAGACATGCGAGCACAAGGTCACCTGAACACTAGGACCCTGTGATTAATCGGCTGTGACAGAAACCCTCGAGTACTCTAGAAAGGGTTCCCAGAGTGGAGTGGCCTCACTGGATTGGGGCGCCCAAGGTCTGTTCCACAGCAAGGCCCAGGCGTCTCCGAGGCTCAGCAGCCGCGGGCCTGGCGTGGGCAGCTGGCTGGGCGGGTCCTCCGTGCGGCCGAGGACTCAGAAGGTGACGCGGTAACTGAATTCTGGTGTTCTTCTCACATTCCCTAAATGGTGCAGGTGGTAACAAGTTTTATGAAATTAAGTTACAAAAGGGACATTTTGGAAGAATAAAGATTGTAAATGTCTTCATATTTGGTTCACCAGCGTCCAGGACATTTTCCTGTGTGTGAAAGTCTTCCAGTTAATATTTCATTGTTCAATTATGCTAAGTAAAATAAGCCAGTCGGAGAAAGACAAGTTCCAAATGATTTCACTCATAGGTGGACTCTAATGAACAGGCTTAGTTAGCAAACAAAATAGAGACAGACTCACAGATAGAGCGCAGGATGGCAGCTATGGGGGGTGGCGGGATTGAGCAGAAAGGAGAGAGGACCCATGGACGTGGGTAACAGGGTTGTGACTGCGGGGGAAAGAGGTAGAAGGGGGATAAATACAGTAATGGAAAAAAAAATAAATTATTTCATTGTTCATAGGTTGTTTCAGAATCTCTTCTCCACTCGTTACTGGACAGGTCTATCAGTAGTAATAGGAATACTACTATAATAGTATTAATGAGAACAAACACATACAGCAATGACTACATGCTCGGCGCCGGACCAAACGCTTTATACTAACCCAAAGAATCCTGTCAACTCTCCGAAGCTGGTACTATTTATGACTCCTAGTTTTAAAATGAGGACACGACACAGAGATTAAGATCCCACAGCTAGTAAGCGGCAGAGCCAGGACCCAAACCCAAACCACCTGGTTCCTAGTTCCAGAGCCCACTCTTAATAATTAAGCTACACTCCCTCTCAGGTTAGATTTGGGTTCCATCATATTAACCCCTCAACTAACCAATGTCACCCCAATAAATTCAATGAAAAAACACCCCCCAAAATAATATATTCATCATCCTCCACACCCACAAAGAGAGAAATATACTCATTCCAAGACAGGCCCTCATACGTACATTTCAGTATCATAAGAGAAGCTGCAGGGGCTGAGGCGCGGTGGGCGGCGGACTAGGCTGGTGCCTCCTAACTGCAGGGGCACGGAGGAGCAGGGCTGCCAACGTGCCGGCCCCGCTCGCGTTCACTTCCCTTGGAAAGGGGACCGCATGGAAACTACAGTTCACTCACGTGCAAAGTGCTGTGGGTGACCCAAGGCGAGCCAGGCCGGGCCCTACCAGCCGTTCCAGCACCGGGGGAGGACGGGGCACAACTCAGCAGGTGCGCAGTCAGCGCTCCTGCCGACCTCCACGCCGTGGAGAACTGCTCCTGCGGCTTCCTATCATCAGTAGCTGTTCAAGAGCCCTGGGACCAGTTATTGAGTGAATACGCACAAATGCTCACAAGGTTCACCCATCGGTTTACCATTCAGCAGAACGTTGCCAGCTGCTAAGGTACTTTTGCCATCATAATTTCTTTTGTGTTTATTCTCAACGTGTTAATTTATACCCAAAAATAATTGCTAAAGGCAGGAAGCACCAAAAATGGCAAAACAAAAGTACAATACGGAGCACAGACCAGGTGATAATTCTGCAAAATCATCCGAAGATCCCACCTCACCTAAGTTGCATTATCATTAGTTACATGCAGTGCTGCGCAACCACCATAAAAAGGGCACCCTTCACGCTCGGGTATACTGAATTTCCCACTTAAAATGAGGTGAGGCCCCGATTATTTTAGCAATGTTAGAGCATTGCTAAATTTTATTTTTTTGTATTTTAAATATTTTATTCTTATTCCATTACAGTTCTCCCAATTTTTCCCTCTTGCATTGCTGAATTTTAAAATCACCCATATTTGGGTTTGGAAATAGACAATAAAACTGGTTTGGTGGTTTTATAAATTCGTATTTTATTTTCGTAGTTGGAATTTTGTTTCTTAGATGAGAAGGTTGCAGGCTACTATTTGCAAGCCACTTCCTAAAAACACATTACTGAATTCGGTTTGCACACATACATTACAGCGCACAGATGCCGTATTACAGAACTGTATACCTGAAGCCCTATAGAATTTTAGTAATCGTCATCCCAATAAATTCAATAAAGAAAAGTAAAACTGAACACATTATAAGAGGATAATTTTTATTCCCAGTAAGTGAAAATAACTGAATATAGCATCGTCATTCTCTGTTCTCTCTTAAAGTTTGGTCTTTCAAGTTCTCAAGTCATCTTGATACATTGTAAATGCGAATAATAATGGGCTGTAAGGAATTTTATAATTAAACAGAGGACGAGGAGGAGCCACCACAGCAGATGTACGAATGAGGGTGGTGTTAAATGATGCTGCTCACGGCGTGGCCCGCACACTATTTCAGGCCCACGGCACAGGAAGCTGAGAAATCGAGAGCACTTAGGAACTTTCCTATCAGTTTGGCATCGCCACAACATCCAACCTTATGTCTGTCGAATCCAGTAATAACTTTGGTGTTGTACTAAGAAGGTTTCTCATTTTGTGTTTCTAATAGTTCAACTTTTTTGTCTTTCACAAGCGTATCAGCTCATGGAGTGGAAATATAACACCTTCACCGTGAACGGTTTGAGAAACATGGGTGTAAAATAACATTAAAGATTGGGGGAAATAGCGATTAATTCTGCCAGTTGCTAAGAGAAGCCAAGGAAACGAAGTTTCTGGCACTGCTCGCATTGGGCAGGAATGGCAATGGTTGACCTTTGGACACGCACTTCGGGAAGAGTGAGGATGCAGCCCACCGAACAGGGCGGTCCCCTTGAGTCTGGTGTCTGTCAGAGGCTTAGGTTTGAAGCCTGCGCCTCAGCTTACCAACCGTGAAACCACAGGCAAATGATTTCACCCAAGCTCTGGCTTCCTCCCTTGCAAATCAGACATACCACACTCACTGAAATTCATCCTGAACTAAAATGAAGTGCCAAGTACAGTATTTTAAAATCATAATCAAGTCCCTACCTCTGAACCGCGATTCCGCACATGGCTCCCACCACCTCCCTGGCAGGAGGGATGAGGGGGACCGCAAGTGGTCTCAGGCGCGGACTTAAATGCAAAGAAGTCTGGGAAACGGGATCAGACCGTGTGGGTGTCTTTGATGGGCAGTTCCTGCTGCATCTGTGCTCCCAGCGTCTCCAGTCCTGGCACAGCGCCCAGCAGGCACTCAAATATTTGTGAAACAAAGGGTTACCTTCATTCACCTTATTAAAAATGTTACCCACCCATAGTTTTAACACAGAAGGCAAGGGCAGGGGAAGAAAATGAGTTAATGCGCCAGCATCTACATAAAAACAAAATAAGCCCTTTTTAAGAGGGCAAGTTTATCACCAGAAATGAGTCTTCCTTCCAACAATTTTTATTGCTAATTCATAGTTTTACATTTTAGATTATGCGCATGGTTAACAAAGACGGGAGCAGGGACAGCCTTGTGGAAATCAAGTTCTAAGTATTTATTAAGGGGAGTAAGTTCTGGTTAAAAGAATTTCACTAAGCACATCAGTTGAACCTAAAAATACTCTTATTTGTTCAGGCACCGCTGGTACCTATCTCTTCTAGGCACTAATTAAGGAACAGCAGTGGAGACCTGGTTAGTCTGGGGAAGACCTTGAGTATTTTCTGTTTGTTATCCAATACAAAGAAATAAGCACCTTGTTGAAATAATTTAATACAGAGCACTTCTTTTATCTAAAACCTAAGGCTGCTTATGTATTTGTGTAGTAAGTCCTAGACTGTGGAAAGCAGTAACAGACAGCAGCTGTTGAGACTGTGATGTTGTGTTAATCACTTCAGATGTAACCTACAACGGATTCCCTGTTTAAATCGCTTTCCTGCTCAAACACTCAAGCAGTCTGAGGGCCATTTAAAAACTTCACTTCCAGCTTCCTTACTTACAATTTAAGTAAATGCTCTGACATACTTTTAACTACAGCTCAAGGTTTCATCCTTCAAAACAAAAATGTAGTAACATTTATTGTCAAAGTGTTGGCAAAAAAGCAAAGAGTGTGTAATGTTTTTTTCCTACTGATAACACCTGTACACCATGGAGTGATTTCAAACCGTGTTTGTTCAAAATGATTCAAACACCTTACAATTTACTTTTCACTTGATTATCTTGAATAGAGGTGCCTAAACACATTAAAATAATTGAATTTTTCGATAGTTTTCCTTATTAAACAAGTTCTTTCCACAGATGATTTTAACACAGGACAGGATGTTATGCTGCGACCAAGGGAAAGACTCAATGTTTCAGCTGCTTTTCACCGCGGGACCTGTGCTCCCGCCAAGTCCCCCAGGTCAGCTGAGCGCTGACCCGTGCGCCCCACCCCCACACTGCACCCAGGCTGCTGGACGGTCCGCTTCGCAGAGGCGTTCGCTTGCCATGGAAATGGTAAGTCATGGACTGGCTTTTAAAATTTCTTCTGGAGGGGGGTGGAGGGAGGAAAAGGGGTAAAAACTGAGACAACTGTAATAGAACAGGATTTATACATTTAAAAATAAATAAAACAAACACACAAAACTTTCTTCTGGAAGTATCAGTTCTGCTTCCATTTCATCGAAGAAAGTTCGATGGGCTCTGCAGTTACCTTCTGTGGGGCCAGAAAGGAGACTTGGAAACGCCATGGACAGCTCTGATAGCGACGACTACAGGCACCCCGAATCATACCTCCTCCCTCCCCCAAACCTTTGGCAGTACTTGCTTCGCGCCTCTCCCCAACTTTCTAAAAACAAGAATCCGCATGTCTGCAGGAGTCAGTCACAAAGGTAGGCATTACTTATTGTGCATGGCAGCAGGACAGAAGTTGTAGTTTTGTGCCAATGAGGAAGTTCAAAGTCTCACCTGTCACTGTTGATCCCTGACCCCTTTTACAATTGGCAGTCACCCTGAAGAGCTCACTGGCAATGCGTAATGGTGACAGGGTAGCATTGCGGATTGGCTAACACATGCGCTTCCACTGCCTTTTCTAAGACACAACGAAAGGGAACTGCTCCAAACATAAACCTACCCCAAGCCATGCCATGCCTACCCCTCTCCCCCCACCAGAAACTCAGATACGTCCACGGCGGGGGGTGGGGGTACGTGACTCCTGATGAGTCCCCTCCTCCTTTCTGGACACCAAAACAAAAGGCGTCTCTCCCCTACTCAGATCCCAACCACTTCTACCACGCCTCTGAGGCTCTCCGGCACCACCGGGGCACAGGTGGTCCGCAGCATGGCCCGATCAATAGCAGCTTAAGGCGGACTTGTGACATTTTTGGAAGGGAGCAGCTGGTCTGTGAGCTTACAGAAAGGCTATTCAGGGGGTCAGCTGTTACCATGATTACAGTAAGTCATAATGCAGAAATATTTTCAATGGCATAAAAATTTCTTAAATACATATTAAAATTAATAAGCAGTCTTTTAATAAGTACCGCAGAAAGGTCACTGAGGTCTTCCACAGGAGTGCAGAAAGGGTCTTATCTTATTAATAACAATTTCATAAAACAGAATTAGGAAGAGAAACATCCTTTCAATACAGCACGGGACCTACCTGTTACTTGCAAGTAGGAAGCAGGTTCAAGCACAAGCATGCGCACCGCAGTGCCCGAGGTGGCCTAAGAGCTGGCCCTGCAAATTCTAAAACACAGACCATCTGGACGATCCCAGAGGCAAGGATCCACTCTGTATCTCACTCCTCAGCAGCATAGATGTCTTAGCAAAGGTGTCACTTTTCTCAACGAAACTATATCCACAGAAATTTGACTCATTGCTGCACTGATCAAAGAGTCATTGAAAGAAAGAAGAGTATGCACATGTACGTGAGACAGAAAGAAAGACAACATCTGGGTTTTTCAAATTGTTTTATTTGGGAAAAGTGCTTCTTACAAAACGGCAGCTGTAAAATTCAGAGACAGCTGTAACAATGACTTTTTTCTTAAAGTGAAAGAGCGAGTGGGATCCAAGGAATCAAAGCAGTTGATGGGACAACTCAGAAGCATCTCCAAGTTATTTTCAGGGAACAGAGCAACAAAATGCAAGCTTCATTTTCCAATCAAGGTATCCTAACAATTTAGCTTATCTCGTGGATTACCCACCCCCCACCCCCCCAGTGGAAAAGCGTAACTCATTACTGCAAACCAGGGACCCCACTACAAGAGACACCTAAAACAGAGTCTGGAATCACATGTGTCTACCTGCAGAGCAGAGGGATGGAGCGAGGCAAATACCCACGAAACCAAAAACTTCACAATGAAACCCCTCAAAAGAAGGCAAAGGTTTGTCAAAAAGTGCCCCCAGTGGAAAGGCTTAAGCATTAAGTACAACTGTGTATCTGAGACCCAGTTTGCGTTAATAGATGGGATAACCAGGCAGTGCGAACCTCTTCGGCTGAGCCCATTTTCTTAGAGAGCCGGACAACGCTAGCTCTGCTCTCCCCACAGCCACCAACGCGCTGCCCTGGCCTGTGAGGTCCATTTGCCACTCTAGGCTGAAGCCACTAAAGCAAGCCTTCCCACGAAGACCAAGAACGCGGCACCCACGCAGGGCCGAGCAGCTTGCCACACGCTCGCTCTCGCACGTGCCCAGTCCACCGGCTCTTGGGAGCCAACTTCCAGCCCCGCATTTCTTTCATATGTGTTCTTACCCATTCTCCTGGCATACTATAAACACAGTAAAAATCTCAAAACACATTCACACCTGATTATGGTTGCCCAGTAGTTTATTACTGTGTGCAATTAAACAAGAGACCCAAACCACAGAACAAGTGCACGGGGGCGGGGGCCGCGGGGTAGGGAACAGATATAAAAACCGAGATGCGCCGATTTCACCAGAAACCTCAAGTAGCCAAGTCTGTAGTCGAAGGCTACTTGCCACATCCAGATCCTTCACCCGTCACCCCTGTTCTCGGACGCCAAAGCAGGGCCAGTGGCGTGACTTTTGAACCCGGGGTCCTCCAAATGCACGTGGCCAAGTCCATAGACAGTACCCTCCAACTGTGCGAATCTGGTCGGAAACAGGTGATGCAACAAACCTACACTGTCTGACAGTTAAATTCGTGTTACGAGAAAACTAACTTTAAGGTTTATTTTTGTAACTTTTTTAACCAGAGAAAACAAGATACTCCTTGGGGAAAGGTGAGGGACGGAGAAGACAGGCCCCGGGGAAGAGTTATCGCGACAGCACCTGGAGTGGCGCGGCCTGCCGGGCGAGGACCGCGGGCCCGCCCCGCCGCTGGGGCAGCCCGTCCGAGGCCGGCAGGCCGGGCCGCGCGCCGCGCGCACTGCTGCTATAGATCCGAGTCATAAAAGTCTTCCAGCTCATCCTGAAACAAGTCCCACTCGTCCTCAGAGTCTGTCAGGTCGTCGTCCCCACCTGCAGCCAAAAGCATAAGCAACATCTCGCCCAGCTCAAAGGTGACAACCTCTTCTTCTTCGTGGTCAAAGGGGTGGCTGTTCTCTCTTTCCTCAATGAGCTCCCAGAAGTGGTTCCTTCGTTGGGCCTGTAAAAAACAAGGCCATGATAGGGAGGGCACTGTCGAGGAGTATCTTCTAGTCTCTTGTCTCTAAGGCAAAGCGTCCAGCACACCAGAGGGCATGACGAAACCAGACTTCTCATTTAGGGTTTCCACTTTACCAATTCCTCCCCTCCGGTTACTTGACGCAAAAAGGTTTAGGCTAGCGCTTTAAGCAGCCTAGTTTCTCCTTTCACACCCCTCCCGGTTTTCTGGGGCTGGTTTCCTGCTCTCATTCTCTAGTCTCGCTCCCGGACCTGAGCGTTAATCTTCTCCTTCCCCTGCCCCAATCTGCGCAGGACTCAACTGATAGGTGCTATTTCCCCTTCTTTAAAAAAACAGTGAGAGTTACCCGGTATCTGCTTGATGTTCCCACTTTCTGTCTCTGTGGCTCCTCTCTACGGCCATCGGGGTAGGCATGCTTGTAAAAACAGTTCCCTCCAAATGGGCAGCTCCCACGTCCTTCATCAAAATACCTGCACGCCTTGTTGCTGGAAAGGAAAATATCGCAACCCTTATTCACAGCGGACTTCAGGTGTGTATGCGACTATCAGCCAGGGTTTCCTTAAACAGGGAGAGACAGAACTGGTATGGCAGTTTACAGCCCTCCCCAAGGTGTGTTCTTAAAGGTATGTGCGCTAATGCATGAGACGCTAGCCAGAAACGGACACTCTGACCGAGGCTACGCTGCTGAGCAGCCCTACTACTGCAGATCCAGCAGAGAGAAAACCTTCTAGAAAGCCCCCAGGCAAGAATAGAGGACACCGGTGACATGGACTCAGAGGAAGGCGGGGCCCCAGGCATGGGGCTTTCGCCAGCAGCACTACAGGCTTCTTCATAACGCGGTCCCTGGGCACGAACCCCAAGGACTGTGTTATAGCAAGACACATAATGGGCGTTACCAAGGGCGACAAAATAAACTGCACTGGGAAGTCAAAGAAAGGGTAGGAAGGAGGTAGGAGTATATAATGCAGCGCTGTTCTTTTCAAAGTGAACCCAAGCTCTGTTGGGATCGTAGCTTAAGAAAAGGCTGCAGTGCTCATACCTCATTGCCTCCTTGTATTTCTGAATGAGTTTCTGCTTCTCTTCTTTCTCCTCCACCCAGTACTCACTTGGAATGACAAAGTTAGATGTGATCCGGCATTCGGGGCAGGACCTGGGAAACAATGAACAGGCTGCAATGCAAATTCCCCTTTACAGGCCCACTCTTCAAAGGACACACCCTGGTGTGTCCCCTCCAGCCTTAAAGACTTAACTCACAGGCAAGTGGGCATCTCCTGAAAGGGCTCCAAACACCGTTTGAGGTAAGACAAACTCCTTTACATATATATAAATTCAATTCGATGGCTAGCCAGTTCATTAAAAATAGGACTTAGATTAAAAGAACAACAAAAGAAGACATTTCACACAGACTCCTTTTTCTTTCGTTTAAATAAATTTATTTCTTGTAACTTTGCTCTGTTTAGGTTATGTCGTTTTTGTTCAGTTATGAGAACAATCTTTAAAGGATGGTGGATTATTGGCTAGCTTAATGGATGGAATAGGAAAGTGGAAAATGTAAAACGTCAGGAAACATACATTCAGAGCGAGGTAAGTTTGTTCACTGAGCCTAAACAGGCTAATCCGTTAAACACAATCTCCTCAGAAAAAGCACGAAGATTCTACTAACTGATACATAGGGTTTCCTCATTCAAATAAAAGTATATATACCAACTAACCTAGAAGCTAGCTGAAATACAAAGAAGAAATCCCAATTAGAAGAATACCCCAGTTTCAAGATAAAATGCATGCATTTAAATGCGGTCCATCTGGTTGAAAGTTGGCACAAGATACTAAATTCTTCCCCAAAATAGAAAGCACAAACGAAGGTTGGGGAGGAGTCTCACTTTATGATCTTGCTCTCAAATTGCTTAGCACTCCTCCACTTGCGGATACACTTGAGACAGTAGGTGTGGTTGCAGTTGGAGAGGATCCCGAAGCGGCGCTCGCTGGGGTTGGCCTTCTCGTAGACCACCTCCATGCAGATCCCACACACCTTGTCCTTGCTGCGCTGGACGGCGAACGAGAGCTCCATGTCCTTCTCGTGGGCCTCAATGCAGGACTGCCAAAAGCGGAGAGAGAAGAAGTGCGATCAAGGCACTGAATGGTGCAGGACTTCATCTCGACAGTTAAGGACTCGTGTTCAGAAAACCGAACAGTCAACTGAAAAGATAATGCTCCTAATGTGACATGAAGAGCAACTCTGGCCCTGGCCGGTGTGGCTCAGTGGACTGAGTGCCGGCCTGCAAACCACAAGATTGCCATTTTGATTCCCATTCAGGGCACATGCCTGGGTCGCGGGCCAGGTCCGCAGTTGGGGGTGAATGAGAGGCAACCAATCAATGCATCTCTCCCACACACCAATGTTTCTCTTCCTCTCTTTCTCTGAAAATAAATAAAATCTTTTTTTTTTTAATGGCACCTTTGTTCACAAGTGAGTTCAGGTACAGTAACAGTTTGGGACTTTACTATAAAGGCATACAATGTGGACTCAACTTCAGGAACTGGGGAAAACAAAAATCACCAAATTTTCTCTCTCCTGCAGTTCAACCCCTGCTGAAATCCTCACTTAAGACAGTTCATACTATGCTTGATTTTTCTGGTTTCTAGATGGAAAATGCAATTAGGGTTAAGGCCCTGATTTAGAACCTGTCAGAAAACAATTTATTAGGTGACAGTTATGTACCAGGCACATAATTCGCACATTACAAAAACAGCTTTATTGATACATAATTCACATACCCTCTAATTCATGCATTTAAAGTGTACAATTAAATGGTGTATTTTTGGTGTATGCAGTATTGTGCAACCACCATAATCAATATTAAAATTTTACAGTATGGTGATTGCTGGGGAAGAGGTAGTATAAAGGGACTAAATGGTAATGGAAAAATACAATAAAAACTCTAAAGAGTTTATTTTATTGCTCCAAAGACGCATCCCATACCCATAGCAGTCACTCATTTCTCCCCCGAGCCCTTTAGTCCTAGGCAACCACTAATCTGTGGATCTGTTTACTCAAACAATTCACATCAATACATAACCTTTTGTGACTTTGTTCACTTAGCACATTTTCAAAGTTACCTACGTAGGATAATGTATCAGTATTTGTTTCTTATTACTGCTGAGGAATATCCCACTGCAGGGACAGACCACAATTCATCCACCTGTTCATCAGGTGGCCGTTTCAGTTATTCCCACCTTGGGGCTATTGTGCATAAAGTGCCTGTGAACATTCATGCACAAGCTTTCGTGTGGACATTACAGAGGTTTTATTTTAACTGAGGTACAGCTGACATGACATTGTATTCACAACTTTATCTCCAAGAAACACCCTAATTGTAGGAAATGCAAAAAAGCAATAGAAAAGTCACCTACCATCCCACATAACTACATTTTAGTGTATTTGGTCTTTTCCTGAGCTTTTTTTGAAACAATCCTAAGTAAGAGGTAGGCACTACTATCCCCAATGTGGAGAAGAAGAGGCTTGACCCGCCTATGACTTCACACGGCTCATGTTCTGTGAAGGTACGAACCATGCCTGTCTTACACCGCGCTTCACCCCCATCGACCCAATTAATTTTCAATTAAATAGAGATAATAATTAGAAACAAACTTTACTCCAATAAATATAGAGTTTGTAATACAATGTCTTCTCAACAATAACAAAAAATTCATGCTGCAAATGGGCTTAAAACCACAGTCCGAAACCCTCATCCATTCACTGCTTTTGGGAATGGCTGGTGCAGTCACTGTGGAAAAAGCTCGACAGTTGCTCAAAATGGGAAGCGCGGTACCTGCAATGAGCCAGCAAGTCTACTTCAGGGTATATTAAAACGTATGTCCACAAAAACTTACAAGTATGAATGTTCACGGCCTTAATAGCCAAAAGGGGTAACAATCCAAAGTCCTTCAACCAACAATGGAAAAACAGAATGAGGCCTAGCCGCCCAGTGGGTTACTCTTCAGCCATAGAAAGGAACGAAGGACTCTATACGTTGCGACATGAACGGCCGTCATGTTATAATGTTTAAGCCAGTCAGGAGAGGCCACATGATTCCATGGATATGAAATATCCGGACTAGGCAAATCCATGCAGACAGACAGAGGATCCCAGGAGCCAGAGATGGCTAGAAGGGAGAGTAATGGAGCTAATAGGTATGAGGTTTCTTCCCCCCCCATCACCTCCATTCTCTCTCTCTTTTTAAATATTTTATTTACTCATTTTACAGAGAGAGAGAGAGAAACATCCATTTCTTGTTCCACTTACTGATGCATTCATTGGTTGATTCTTATATGTGCCCTGACCTGGGATCGAACCTACTACAACTTTGGTATATCGGGACAATGCTCTAACCAACCGAGCTACCCAGCCCTGGCTGGGTATGAGGTTTCTTTTGGGGATGATGAAAATGTCCTACATTTAGATACAATGGTGATAATGGCTGCACAATGAAATGTGCATCTTATAAAAGCTGTTACTTTGAAAAAGGAAGGAAAAGAGCTCATAGTGCAAGGTCCTTGATTTCTTGATAAAGCCTTCAAACCCAGGAAAGAAAGTGTCCCTACTTACTGGTGACCAACCTTTCTATTCACCACATGAAAACAGTCCTCACACCTATGAACAGGGCATCTCCCTGAGGACTTACTTTTATGTGTTGTGACCTCTGGGCAGCATCCACGGGGTGGAGGACCTGCAGCCCACACAGGTCACAGGCGTCCCCGTGGAGGTACACACAGTTCTCGCCGTAGCGGCACTCTCCAACGGCTGCGTAGGGGCACAGCTGCTGCTCCGTGTCCGCGGCCGGCGGCTCCTTCTCCGCGTCCTCCTTGGTCACTGAGCCCTGTGGGGGCGCCTCAGTGCAAGAAGGGGCAGCTGAAAACGTTTGAGAGGGTGGTAAAGGCCCCAAATGGGTAAGGCAGAGAACCTGTAAGGTAACTGAGAACCTGACTGAGAAGAACTTCCGTTAACTCCAAACGCCTACTACACTCATTTCCTGACTCTTGGAAGAAGCGAACTTTTTCTAATGCTGATATTTCCGAGATTAGGCTTGTTAAAAGGGGAGGGGGCGTTTATGTAGCTCTTATACAAATGTACGGATAAAAGGAGAGGCTTCACTTTTCCAGCATTCTCAATTCAATATTATTGGGATTCAAAGATTCCTTCACTCCGTGTGTAAGTCTCAGGCAATCCAATAAATTAAGATCTGGCTACATGCGAAGGCTGGCAACTGGAAGGCTGTGAAAACTCAGCTAATGGATGAACTACCGTCTAGCCCTCTTAACTTCTTTCTATTCTTCAAAATACTCACTACGGCCACAGTAGGGCTGCCCAGGAACAAACTCAATGGCATTCACCCAGTCTTCTGAGCCTGCTCCTACAGTTGCAAAGTTTGAATTTCTTGACTCAGCCTCGCCCGTATTCATTTCAACAATCGGTCCAACTACTGATGAGAGGCTTGAGGAAGCAGCAAGGGAGGATTTTGCAGTTAGATCTGTAGCAGTCGCTTCTTCGTGTTTCAATGGTTTGCTATGTTCATATCTAAAAATAAAAAATAAAAATATATGTATGTATAAGTCAGTGGTCACTGTCTACCTAGAACCCTCCAGATGGGCTCTATAGTCCCTTATCCTGTCTTTGGGTTCTTTTTAAACGGCTGTGCATATGAATACCTGGGAAACTGCTAACAGGCAGACACCTAATTTCTGAGTCTGGGGCGGAGCCCACGATTCTGAATGTCTGCACGCCCCGACACGGTGCTCTGACAGGGGCCACGCTTGAGTAGCAAGGCCAGAGACCAGGGTGCACGACACTTGAGACGGTGTGGCCAAAACTGACCAATTAATCAAAGCAACGCTGGCACTCATACTCAAGTAGAAATGTGGGACATTTTTTACCAACATATAAATTAAAACGCTCCCATTATTAAAAGGGAAAGGCAGTATTTATAATATAAAATACACAATATATATTTTGTTTCCCTAATCCATTCATTCACCTAATGCAGCGATTTTCAACCTTTTCCATCTCATGGCACACAAACTTATTACCTAAATTCTGCCAACACACCAAAATAAATTTTGCCAATCTAACAAAAAAAAGGTTTAATTTTGATTTATTTACACTGAATGCCTATTTTTGTACTGGCTGTTATCATTTTATTTGACAATCTAATGGAATAGAGGTCAGTGCCCCTGACTAAAAATTCTTGCTGTGGCTGGTGTGGCTCAGTGGGCTGAGAACTGGCCTAAAAACCAAAGGGTCACTGGTTTGATTCCCAGCCAGGGCACATGCCTGGGCTGCGGTCCAGGTCCCCAGTAGGGGGCACACAAAAGAGGCAACCACACACTGATGATTCCTTCTCTTTCTCCTTCCTTTCCTCTCTCTAAAAATAAACCTTTAAAAAAAATTCTTGACACCAATTGAAAACATCACTGACCTAATGGTTTCCTTTTCCAAATTCTTACCTTTTTTTAATATGTAAAGTTATCATTAAACCACACCCCCAAATATAAGGAAAAACTACTTCCTTCAAGAATCCACTTTCTGCCTGAGAAAGTCTTCACAATTCTTTTGAACATTTTTTTAATGCTGGGGAATTCAGACACAATAATGAAGAATGTAGTAAATCTAAACTGTTACGACTTATAGTATGTATCTAGCAGTTCTTGCAATTAATTAATTAATTGGGCAATACTAACAAGGGTCATCTGTGTTATAGATGCCTATGTTTACATCTAAAAAAGAAGTAAAACCTAACAATTGCTGAGCTGGTTTTTATCATTATGTCACCTCAGATCTTCATACCTCCCAAGCTACAAGTCACCTACTCTGCTTTGTGGTACACGTTATGAGTACCCTGCTACCAGCTACGAAGGCCGGAAGCGCTGTGCTCCACAGCCCGGAGTCACGCAGACTGGGGAGGGGGAAGGTGTCAGGGACATGCCCCCACTCCGGCCGCCTCACTCCGCCATCAGAAGTGTGCAGGGGCCCTTCTCATCATCCCAGGGGTGACACAGAAGATGCAATTGTCCAGTAAGTGGTGTCCTAGGTCTGATGTGAATCGGAAGCTGCTTTGTACAAAACGGCAGCCATCGGCCAAAATCTAGCTATTTATACTTAAATGACATTTTAAACTCAGCTCCTTGGTCCTTGCACCAGCCACGTTTTCAGGGGTTCACGAACCCCATGTAGCTCATGGTTACCGTACTAGATGGCAGAAGAACAGCACATTTCCATTCTCACACAAACCCCTGCCCTCGCTTTTCAAAGTAAGTCTGATTTAAAAGGGGATTTCACAAAAATATTTTAATTATTTTCACAACCTTAGGTTAGAAGTGAAGCTGGGCTTTGTTCAGAAAGACAGGCTTTAATTAAGTCCCCTCCACAAACACAGAAAGGCTGCAGGGCTCCGGCAGCTAAATGTCAAGATGCACAAAGGGCCTCAGAGAGATATGATACCCATATTTTAGATCTTTCTCCTTTCCCATAATCATTTTAAGAATTTTATGGTAAATGACTCAAAAAATACTTAATAGGGTAAGAATATTAATCACCATGTATTGACCAAATTGCAAATACTACAAAGTTTTTGAGCTTTCAGGTAAATTTATCAAGGAATTAACAAGATACAAGTTTTGGAAGCACAGAATATTAATTAGCTGGCAAGTCCGCACCTGTCAATAAGTGTCCTTGCTTTCAAACCTGCAATTTTTTATGGGTACACAGAAAAGCAACAAATGAACTGAATGCATAAATAAGTGGAACAAATCGATGTCTCTCTCAAATCAATTTTTTAAAAAGTTCCTCTGAAAAAGAAAATGTATATCAAATAAAAGCAACTTTATTCTAAGAAATTATTTTGAGAAAAAATATACAATTTAAATTTACGTTAAGAAATTAGCTCTGCCTGGCGTGGCTCAGTCGATTGAGTGCCGGCATGTGAAGCAAGGGATCACTGGTTCAATTCCCAGTCAGGGCACATGCCCGAGTTGCATGAGGGCCAGGTCCCCAGTAGGGGGCACACGAGAGGCAACCACACATCGATGTTTCTCTCTCTTCCCTCTAAAACATGAATAAATAAACTCTTTTAAAAAAAGAAATTAAAGAACATATGTCCTCAAAGAAACTACAACATAGATAATTCTATCCAGCAAAGCTACCATTTAGAATTGAAGGGCACATAAAGAGCTTTCCGGACAAGAAAAAACTAAAGGAGTTCATCATCACCAAACCATTATTATATTCAAATGGTTAAAGGGACTTATTTAAGAAAAAGATCAAAGATATAAACAATAAAATGGCAAAAATACCTATCGACAATGGAATCTGAAAAACAAACAGAATCACGGATACAGAGAGCATTTTGATGGTTGTCAGATGGGAGTGGGGCGTGGGGGAAGGAGCGGAAAGCTGAAGGGATTAAGAAGCATAAATAGGACGTTACAGAATAGCCACAGGGATGTGAAGTTCAGTATAGGAAATGGAGCAGCCAACGAACTTACATGCATGACCCACGGACATGAACAATGGCGGGGCGATTGCCTGAGGGAGTGGGGGGCGCTGGGTGGAGGGGGGCAGGGGCAAAGGGGGGAATATCAGGACAGTTTTAATACCATAATGAATAAAATATAATTTTAAAAAAGACAAGCAAGAAAGAAAAAGCAAGACTCCAATTCTGAAAGGTGTTTACTGAAAAACAGGTCAGGGGTCAAATACATGGTCACGGGGGTGGGGGGTGGGGGGGAGACTAGACTAGGTGTTGAGCACAAGATGTGATATACAGATGAGGTGGTATAACAGCGTACCCTTGAAGCTTATGTTATTAACCAATGCCACGCCAATCAATGTAACTTAAAAAATGGCCCTGTAAAGCATGGACCTCCTTAAGAGCAGGGATTGCCAACGAGGCCCTCAGGCCAAAACCTAACTAGAGCTAAGAATAGGCTTGACATTTTTATTTAGTAGTTTTCCTTATTTTTATTGACACTATCACAGATGTCTCCATGTCCCCCTCCCCCTGGTTTTGACATTTAAATGCTTGGGGGGAAAAAGGATCATTTGATGACGCATAAAAATTATGACATTCCAATTTTAGTATCCCAAACTAGTTTTCTTCTAGTCCTGTCTAACCTATGAGCTTATACATATTATCTATGGCTCCTTTCACGCCACAAGGGGCCCCGTGACCTGCAGAGCTGGAAGCGTTGCTTCCCTGCTCCTGGAGGGAAAGCCCACGGAAGAGGACGCACATCTCCTGGAGGTGCTGACACCGTCAGCGGTCGGTGGGCTGTCGCGGAATCCCGGAGCCTTTTGGTCGGTGGTAAGTGAGGAGGTAATGCTGACCTAACACTGAAGCAAATACTGAGTTTTTCTTTCAGGTCTTGCCAAAAAACAAAACAAAACAAAACAAAAAACTTTGCTATATATAGTATCAATTCCTATCTAAAGAGATTTAATCAATGTTTCTTTGAGCTCTAAGCAAGAGACACTTCTGTCTGGTCGGCTTCCAACTCCCCCGCCCCACTCACTCAGAGGTCCGCCTGTACAGACTTTAGTTTATGTCACTGGGTAGGTGCGAGCGCAAACCCCTCCTACCAACAGTTGTCAACCACGGCCATCCTGCCTCTTCTCGCAGGGGCTGTCTTCAGAAACAAGGACCGAGAGTCTTAAGGACGTTAAGCGGGCGGAGACAAAGGATGCCAGGTGCCCACCAATGTACACAACAGTCCACAGCAACTCGCTAGGCGGCAGCACCGCCATCATGAAATACTGGGCGGTGCCACTTCTGAACTGTTGCAACTAGGATGCCACCTCTCATCACAAACCGTCCCCGGGGCACTGGCCAAGTTGTATACGGAGATCCCCACAGAGTAAGAATGAAAAGCAGACGAAGTCCCCAGGCGTAAATCCAACCAAGGCACACACGCAGCAGGGAGCCAGGCCCTGCAGATGCCGTCCTTACTCGCCCAGCCTGCAATCAAGCCTGCGCCACCACCTGCACCAGCCTGTCCCAGACAACTGTCACCAGACCTCCTGGCCACACAGAGCGTTGGCGCATAGGGTTCCCCAGCTCTAGCCTAAGGGCTCTAAGCCCAGGTCAGAATCCTTCCCCAAAGAGGGAGCTGTATCCTTATCATAAAGAAAACTTAAAAAAAAAACAAAAGTAAAGGTAGTTCATGAGGTGGCTCACATCTGCCTAAATGTCAGTTCAGGGCTGCCCCCAAACAGCGCCCCTATCATTTGTCCTCCCAACAAGAAGCCCATGGAGCACGAGTCAGGCTGAATACGGGCTCAGGCCTCCTCCCAAGGAGCACTGGTTGGGGCTGATGAAACTTCCTGAAAAAATAAGCTTATTAACACAGAGTCTAGGCCTTAGGTCATTCTTCAATTTAACCTTATTTCCCATCCATCTACCTATATGGTCTGGTCAGATAAGCAGCACTTCTGAAATAGGAGGTTCGTCTGTTGAGCCGCCACACGGCTGGTTTGCTCTGCTCTGCCGTCTGTTCTCTGGTCTTCTCTCTGCTGGGCGCCTTAGCGGCTCATCTCCCTCCCCAGCCCGCTCAGCTCCTCGCCCCCAAGACCCGCAGTTCGCAAGGACACTCGGCTGTCTGCGTGGTCAAGAAACCCAGCGCCCCTGAAATTAAGCTGATCCAGGAAAACCTGCAGAGACTGTCCTAATACAACAAATTGCTCATTCATAGTAGAACAGAGTTCTGACAACCTTCCCTGTCTTTAACGCCATGACTCCCAAAAGGCGTATTGGGATTCTTTTTGAGTGTCATTTTTTTCCTTTCCAGCAACATTGCAGTGAGAACAATTACTGAGCAAATTATTGTCTGCTAACTCAGATCCCGGAAGTGCCATTTCTAAACTCCTACATCCATATGGAAAGGGCCTTGTCTACTCTATTCTTACAGATTTCCTAGGAAAACAGACATGGGATGACCTAACGTTAATATTCCACTTATCAATCATTTCTTGTCTTTTGAACTCTAAGCACGTGAACCCAACACAATTCTTTTCTGATAACAGGACACTAAAATTAGTTAACAACCTCACCAAAACGTCTGACCTAGTGTAAAGGTTTAAGATGTCCCGCGTTCTCGGGACACTCCCCCAGTCCAGAGGCGGAGCCCAGTGGGCTGTCCCTCCGGAGCACAGCCTTGCCCTTCTCCCCTCTCAGGCTGCACCTGTCCGGGGCTCACCCTCTGAACCTGTCTCCGCAGGGCCCAGCCGTGGCTAGCTTCTGTCCCGGTGACTTTTACTTCCCTGCTCTTTCCAGAGCAGAGCCCCACCCGGGCTCCCTGTTGCTTCTTCTACCCTAAGCCCTTCCTTTGGTTTTACCTTCCCTCCTGCCCCCAAAAGGTGGAGCCCAATCTCACTCCTCTTGGTGGCCTCAGTGACTTGCTTGTAATAGAGGGGAAGCAACAGCGTGTGGCTTCTGAGACCAGGTCATACAAGCGCCCGCGGCTTTGTCCTGGCTGGCCCTCTTGCACGGCTTGCTCGGTGGAAGGCTAGCTGTCCAGTGTGAGGACACGACAGTGGCCCTGGGAGAGGTCCGCGGAGGTGAGGCACCGAGCTCCCCCGCTAACGGTCACCTGGAAAGCGATGCTCCAGCCCCTATGGACTTCAGGTGATGGCAGCTCTGGCCAGCGCCCTGACTGCAAGCCTCCTGCGGGCCTGAGCGGGGCCATGGAGGGAGGCCACTCCGGCGTTCCAGACCCCCAGAAACCATAGCGTGGTCTTGTTTTTAATCTGCTCAATTCTGGGATAATTTGGTAACATCAATAAATAGCTAACACACCTAGATATTTTCTGAACTGGGAATATAAAGAAAAGCTCTACCCAAATCTGAAGCAGAACCCACTATTGCTGAATTGCACGATATCCGCATTATGGTACCAGTTCAATGACTAGTACTAGAGATTACTTAACAACTAATCCCTCTTGGTTCTCAACATTCTTAGACACTAGACATTCTTGGAGCGTTTCCCCTAAACCTTAGCCTATAATTAGCCTTGGGAGCTCAGGGCGTCGGGTGGAGGGGTAGCCGGAAGTTTCCTGGGAGTGACCGGCCCTCCTCACCTGCAGCCTAGCACACTGAGGCACGCGGGTGGCCCATCTCCTCTCCACAATACGCACCAACAGACGGCAACAGAAACGGTCCTGTCTGGTCCAGTATGCACCTCATTCTTGGTTTAAAAAGGGAAGGCCGCACGCGAACACGCCTCCACCACACCCGGTCACCAGGTTTGCAGAAGGCGCCCGTCAGGCAGTAACTCAACTTCAGACTGTATCACAAATGCACTCCATGGTGTAAAAACATATTCCCTTCCAGTGAGAGACCTGTCTGCACTAATATGCCTATGCAGTCCTTCTCAAAATGCTATTTTAAATCTATAAATGATAAAGCTGCTGGGATTATGTATTTTACTCATTTCCCCCGCAACCTGCCCCCAAAGCAAAACCGACGCGCAATCAGCCGCTCACCTGCAGCGGTCTCCGTAAATACAGCACCCTCGCTGAAAATACTTGCACACGACGCCGTAGGGATTCTCAGAGAGGTCGTGCGAGTAGCGGCAGTTGTCTCCTTCCTTACAAACCCCGTGCATGAAGTACCTGTGGGACAGAGAGCCACAAGGTGGAATTAGGAAAGAGGAAAGGCAATACTCAAATAATTCACGACCGATATATTCCACCAGCAATACACGGTACTGTATACTAATAATATACCCACAATTATATTCTACACGAGCATGTAAAATGAATACAAAGAAAGTAGAACTAGACTGTGACCATAAAGTTGTCCATCCATTACGGTACCACGGGAAGGCTGCCTACAGATACACACACCAATTTAGATTTAAACTGCGAGGTTGTCATTAATCCCTTCTCTCCAGGGTAAGCCTGACCGCCGCTCTCCCGTTACAGTCCTAGTGGGGCACCTTCTTGGTTTTCACTAACTTTACAGCCATAATGGCAGCTCTTTTCTGTAAAAAAGAAAAAGAAAAACAGTGGAAACTGGACAAGGTCAGACTGCTGTGTGTTTCACTTCAAGAAACCATTTTGATCCTTGAAAAGCCACACATGAAAACACAAGAAAAATTTGCTGCTAAAACAGACACAAAGGGTACACGTGTACTAACTAGAAGTTTCCAAAATCGAAGTATCAGAGCGTGGCTCAGTAGTTCCTGGGTGAACCAGGACCAGCAGCATCAGCAGCACCTGGGGGACTTGCTAGAAATGCAAGTTTTGAGACCTTACCTAAGACCTACCAATCTGTAACTGGGGGGCGGGGGAACGGGACAGGGACTTAGGCAAGCAGCAACCGGCATATTTCTGTAAGTCACTGCAGATCAGGGAGCAGTGAGGGTCTTTTACTCTCTCTCGAGCAGGGCTATAAAGACTTAATTTTGGTAGGCAACACCTACCCAAATACGCACCTCTGTTCGGCCGGTATAGGTAGAATGTCAATAAGCACATTCCACTTGCTCCTTGATTGGAATGATCTTAAAAAATAGATTCAGTTACCTAAGCAGCCTTGAAGGAGGAGGCCCTCAATTAAAATGTAGAAGAGGTCCTATTCAGAGATTTCCTGAACGTGAACTCCTTACTTACATAGACATTCACAGCAGATAACAGGGAGAATAACATTCTGGTGGAAAGTTATTTTCAAGATCCTAAAATGCCCTAAGACTACAGCCTGTAACAAAATAAAAGAACATGTAGGGATTCAAGTTATAACTATAATTCTAATTTCAATTGTTAGTTACTAGGTTTAACTTAACTGAACTTGGGTCTCAACTGCTCAACCACAGGACTTCTTTCTGCAAGCTCTGCAGCTGTTTGAGCCACACCACCCAATTCGAGCCACACCACTGAGTCAACAGATAATGTGACTACGCAAATAAACAGAATAACATGTAACAGAACAAGTCTATGATAATTACATTGTAACTACTACTGGGCAATCCTGCTCCTTAAGGTCTATAAAAGTATCCGCAGTTGAAAACAAGGTATTCATTTGAGATGATGTCACTGTTTGAATACAGTTGCTTCCTGCTCATCCCCCTCCCATGGGAACACTTTCACTCTCACGTTCTAAACAAGACAAAAGTATCTACACCGTCACCATTTCCTTGGGGTCAATTTGAAGTTAGAGATGGATGTATTTTTAAGGCTTGATTAAAATATCTACCCAGCACCCTGGGCCAGGCGGCTCAGTTGGTTGGTCGGTGTTGTCCTGTAAAGGAAAAGGTTGCCACGTTGTTTCAGGGCACATGCCTGGGTTATGGGTTTGGTCCCTGGGGGGGGGGGGGGGGGGGAGCGGAGGGGGGCAGGGCACGCAAGAGGCGACCCATCAATGCTTCTCTCTCTCTTCCTCCCTCCCTCTACCCTCTCTTGAATAATAAAGGAAAAAAAATCTTTTTGATTAAAATCTCTCTCTCCTCTCTTTCTCTCTCTCTGCTGGGGGAAGGGGGTATAAGGGGACTACATGGTAGTAAAAATACAATAAAGATTAAATCAAATATTTATTTGATATATAAATATATTGGTAAAGATTAAATTGAACACCCCCCGCCCCCCCGCCCCGAGATCGATCTCAGGCACAATACTTGGAACTTTAGGTTTGTTCTTAAATCCAATTCTACCATGGCCACGTCACATTCATTCCACCACTGCACTTAGGTTTATGACGCTCTTTTCATGTTAAATTATGTCTTCCAGGAAGCGCTGCCAACAGCTGCTGATCTTAACCTTGTTTCTTCAATCAGTTGCTTCAAGGACCTCAACTCCCTAGTACCTGCACTCTTCTTTCGTACTTCGTCCAATAATACCCACACCGGCACTGCTTTCTGACATCACTATGGGTGAAAACTTCTCTAGAGTCCAAAACGGAAGAGTACAATAAATTGGCTGGCCTAGGACAGAGTATCATGGCCTGTCACCGCCTTCTGCCAAGCGCACAATGCAGCACTTGACGAGAGTGAGGAGAGCGGGGCAAACCTGGGGGAAGACGGGGCTGGATGGCGGGGAGAAGATCCTGCAGGGCTCTGTAAGCCACGTTACCTCGGAGCTGTAAGGAACCACCGCAAGGATAGCTCGCCGGAAGTGTCTGAATAGGATTTACATTGTATTATTTTTTTTACTATGAAAATTTTTGCTTTCGATTGAATTTATTGGGGTGACACTGATTAGGATGATTATACACATTTCAGGTACACAATTCCACAACACACCATCTGTATGCTGTGTAGTGTGTTCGACATTCCAAGTCAAGTCTCTATCACCATTTATCTCACATATACTCTTCTCCACCTCCCCCCGCCCCCACCAGATTTAAATTTTAAAACATTACATTAAAGAGACCTAAACATCATGCCACAAGGAGATTTTAAGTGACTGGAGTTTAGCCAAGAGAAGACAAAGGAATGACCTTGTCCAGCACATTCCTGACAAAATGAATACACACATGACGCTGTATCGTAGACCTGGCCCAACGTAAGGACCGAAAGTGAACCGCCCAGCAACGAACCGAGGCACCGACGTCCACAGCAAGCACCACTGAAGGAATTCCAGCAGGCACGGAATCACCTGATACTGCAGAATCAACAGAAACACTAGAATACAAGCCCCAGTTAGTCACTGCCAGATACCAAGCCCTGGTTCACATGGCTCTTGGGAACGCATGGTCTGGGTTTTGGGTTCCTGTCTCTTGTCTGGCAGTGACATGATGTTGGTCCATACCCAGAACTACAGACAGTCCTCACTGTAAAACCCCTCCTCCTCAACCCGTCTCTGTGCAAGTCCCTGAGAGACTGACACAATAGTGTAAGTTACAACGGATAAAAGAAAAAGGCTTAAAAAATGTCTCCCCAAAACAAAACCACAGTAAGTGCTTTCGTTTTGTTTTTAAATGACACCACCAAACAGCCGCCATTCAAATTCATCTAATGCCACTACCCAGGCTCAGCTTGCCTACAGGTGAAAGGCCGAGTCACTGGTCTCTAAAGTTCCCTTCACCTTGCCCTGACCTGTGTGGCTCAGTTGGTTGGGCGCTGTCCCACAAAGTGAAAGGTCGCGGGCTGATTTCTGGGTGGATTCCCAGTCGGGGCACATACCTAGGTTGTGAGTTCAGTCCCTGGGCAGGGCAAGTACAAGAGACAACCAACTGATACTTCTCTCCCTCTCTTCCCCTCTCTCTAAAAACTAAATAATAAAGTTCCTCCACCTTGAAGATTCTAGAACTCCCAGCAGACATTGTCTGGTAATAGAGACAAAACAATGGGCTAGAACTCCCTGACTGCTGTGCCTCTGGGAAACCTAAGCACAGTCACCAAGACCCATCACACTAAATCCCGGCAGTAGCTCGGGAGTATACAACGGGACCTCTAGGTAGCGTCAGTTTCTTTGGGAATTTCTAGAAACTACGGAATATTAATTAATTTGGCTTTCAATCACTTAATCTGCTGTAACAGTTCTTACTTTGATACTTAACTATTTTTCTCTGTGTCCTGTTTCTCAAACTAATTTGTAAATTCCCGGTGGGCAAGAACCATGCTTTATTCTGCTTTTGTCTCCTACAGGACCTATACACATGATACATGTTTGTTTAATAAAAACTGCACAAGACAGCCAAGTGTCATGGGGAATCACAGCAACAGCAGCACAATCACTTTTCTTTCCCTGGGCTGGAAAACTTTTTCAATACCATCGTTTCAAAAAAACCCTATAAAATCGTAAGCAATGAATTTCAACTACAGCTATCACAGAGCTTGGACAAAGACCTTCTGAAGAATTCCTTCATTTTTAAGCTATATTAACTACACCTAAAACGACCATTTGCAAGTTACAACTTCTGAAGTTCTAATGCCTGAATCGCCGTCCACCCAAGGAAGCTGGAAGGGACAGCGTTTCTGCTCCACGGCACTCCTAGCAACGGGTGTGAAAAACAGCCGGGTGGGGGCAGCACAGGACAGCTTCTTGGGAAAGCTTTTAGGTTTTTCTTAAACTGCAGAAATAAAACACAATGAAATAGATTTGAGAGAACTATTAAGAAAGTAGTGTGACCAACAATACAAAAGGATCCCGGACAATTAAAAACAAATAGCCATCACCCAAACAACTTCTAACTTCTAAGAGGATTATACTCTAGGCCAAGGAAATAGCCTTAGTCACAATCCACGGTATGAGTGGGGAAATGGGCACAGACACTTGAATCCTCTTCCCAGGAGGTTTAGCGATCAAACACACCGAAAACACTGCTAATGCAGCGCACTTCTGCGTTCCCTTTAGCATCTAGCACTCCCTCGTTGTTGGGGATAAAGCTTTTTTTACTAAGTAACTGAATGAGGTAGTCCCAGAAAGACAAGCACAAGTCCCAGTAAATCCTTTGTCTCTGCTAATTTACAAGTGTTTTTGTTTTTTGTTTGTTTGTTTGTTTTTTTAAATGAAAGCAGATGACTCTTACTAGTACATATTGAAGCGGGTAGTATCAGGTGCGGTTTTATCAACATCAATTCAAGTATTTACTGAGTATACCAGGTACTGAGTAAGCCCTACAGACAGGGTGATAAAATAGAGCCCTGCCTCCCTAGAGCTCAAGTCTAGAATAAATGAAGAGATCACATTTGAAATTCCTCTGTTCAAATAGATTTGAAAGATCACATTGGTACCTAGAATAACTGAAAACAATGTCAAGCATTAAAACCCAAGACGTATCAACTAACCTGCACATTTTTTTTAAATAGAAAAAAGCAATCCAAAACAAAACCCAGCATATCTAAGCCTGTAAAGTATTTTCTCCCCAAATATTAGATTCCTCGGCTATGTAAACTTAAATACATAAGTCAAGTGATTCATGGGCAAAGAATTCCCACTGGTGTAGGAACAATCTAGAATATTTCATTAACTCAAAAGCCCTAAAGGCAGGCAAAGAACAATGATTAGTTTGGTCAGCTCTGTTTTGAACTGATGTGACTGGTGAGGAGCTAGAAAAGGGGAAACCCAACAGGGAAAAGTACCTGGACATGCGCGAAAGTAAAGCGCAGGGAGTGACAATGAATTCTGAGCAGAGATGGGGAGCTGGGCTCGAGTTACAGACAGAGAAGGTTAACAGTATGTATGTCGGGTTGGTGAGGGGTTCTCTAGGCTGTACTTAAATTGGAGAGGGTAGGAAAACGGAGGCATTGTATGGGGCCCTTAAGGAAGCCCCACATACACAGTCAAGGGAGATTATTTTCAGTGTAGGGATGTAGACTGGGGCTGCACGGTGAATGGCTGCAAAGTGGTTACACTAACTTTTATTTCTTAAGATTCAGCTGGAACACATAAAACAACTGAAACATTGTAAAGAGAAATAAACAGATTCAAATAACTACAGGAATGGGAAGTTTAAAATTCTCACTTCGGGGATACTGCACTCGGGCAACTTGATTTCATTCTTAGGGATCTACCTAGAACAGCGTTTATGCTTTCTCCATCCCGTTATTGAAAAGAAACGCCATGAAGCTTATCATTCATATCTTAACTGCGTCATGTTAAAAACTGGGAGGGCTTCAATCTTGCTAACAGGGCAGTGAGTTCTGTATATTATATCTTTAGGTATTTGCGTATAATTATCCCCTGCAGATAAAAACCGGAATTTCGGTTGGATTTTTGCAAACCAAAGCTTCTACTCCTACTGATCACGTTTAAAAGATCCAAGTACAACATCCAATTAAATGCCCTAACCTTATGTGTACGACTTGATCATTTTTAACGTGCGCATACACGTTCGTATAATCGCCACCCACTGACCACTTATTCTTAAAAAACATCTTCATTTGACATTAGAAACCAAAACAAAACCTCTCCCCTCCGGGAGCGAGCTCTTTGACTTCCTTCAGAGGAAAGAGGCGTGGACTTCAAAAGATAAACATTTCGCCCAGGGAGGTGAAAATTTCAGCCGAAGGGTACGACCCCGGCTGGGCACTCCGTTTTCTAAGACAAAGCTCAGAACAGCCAACCCCGATAAACATACAAAGAAGAAATAACAAAAGCTACTTCTCGGGGAGGGGGGAGGGGGGCGGAGACGCCAGCAGACGTTACAAACGGATGACACAACTGCGGGCTCCGCAGCACGGCCACCTTGCCGGGACCCGCAGCGGCGCTCCCGGCCCGGCAGGCCCGCGGGGAGGCCGGCTCCCAGCGACACCAGCTACCCCTTCCCGAGAGCGCGGAGCTGGAGGCAGGGTCGAGGGATCCGCAACAATGAAAGGAGGGAGGAGCCCCCCTACCTCTCCCTCCGCGAGACGTGCCGCACCGCCGGGAGCGGGGAGGGCGGCGCGGCGGCTCGGCAGCGGGGGCGCGCGCGCCGGGCCTCGGCGGGCGGCGGGGGTTGACGCAGCGCGGGCGGGGAGACCAAGGCGGCGAAACGCCGGGTACCCGCTTCCTCCGCCCGCCCCTTCCTCCGCGGCATCGGCCCCCCTCCCAGCGCCGGTGCCGGTGCCGGGCCCCGCAACGTCTCACCTGCAGGTGACCTGTTTAGTCCAGCCGCCGCCGACGCCTCCCCCGCCCCCCGCCCCCGCGGACGGGGAGGTGACTGTGGGGATAGGGGTGGGGGAGCCCGCTGCCACCGCCGCCGCTGCCGCTCCTGCTCCTGATGGTTTGGCTGTTGTTCCGGGAGCTGCAGCCTCCGCCATTACTGTTTATCCCACACAGCAATGGCACCGGAACTTCCGGATCACATAGTTCCGGTCCGGCTGCGGGCAGGACAAGGCTGCGAGACGCGGGGAAGGGAGAGGAAGGAGACTGAAGCGCCGACTCGCTCCCCTCGACACCGCGTCGCGGCTCCGAGCGCTCTCGCCGCTCGAACTGCGGGCCGGAGCCGGGTCGCCCGCGGCCCGCCTCCAGCGCCCTCTGATTGGTGGACGAGGCCGCCGCCTGAGGGGGGCGGGGCGGGGGCCGGGCGCCGCCAGGTGGGCCCCACCCTCCACTGGCCCGCAGCCCGACTCCAGGGAACCCGAGTCCAAGTTCCGAGAGCGCTGACCCTGCGCAGCGCTTGGCAGCCGAGGCTGAAGCCGTGCAGTGGCGGGGAGCGGGCGGGGATGCGGGGTCTAGATTTGAATTCAGAGTTTCCCACTTACTGGCTCTACCAATCGCTAGCAGTGTGAACTTGGGCTAGATACCCGGTGTCTCTGAGCCTCAGTTTCCCCATCTCTCAAAGGGGGTTATTAGAGTAGCCTCTGCCTCCCAGGGTTGCCGTGAGCATTTTAAGACAAGCATGGCAATCGCTGAGCCTAGTAAACAGTAAATGTTCTCTTATCCCTCCAGTCAAAGGTGTGATCGCTAAGCCCAAGAGACTAGCGTGGTGGCTCAGCAAGCGCTCTGGAGTCCTGTGTCTCGGCTTTGCCCATTCCTAGCTACTTGTCTTTCAGCAAGTTAACTCACCTCTTCGTGCTCCTGCTTTATCTCTAAAAATAAGTTTTAAAAAATAATTCTACAATACCTACTGCAGGTGAACGAGGAAAATGAGTCCACGTAAAACCCTGATCACTGGGCTTCACACTGCAGTTAACACTTAACAGGTAATAGAAGGTATCTGCAATATCCCAGCTCCTGAGTATTTTTAAAAAGATGAAAATCAAAATGTTTCCAATCCTATTTCACCGTTAATACCCACTCAGATGCTGCATATTAAATCCTGAGCTTCCACAAGCTCTTAAATTTGCTTTTCTGGAGTTTTTACTTCGAGAAAGTGAAAATCTGCTCCACTGATAGGAGGTAATCAGACCACGACGTGCCCAACAGAGGCAAACCAGGATAGTCACAAAGCCGGCAGAAAACAATGTTTCTCCCAAGGCCATAGGAAGGCTGCAGAATGACTAACAATGCCCTCCTTTGAGCGATTAGAGCTTTTTTACTACTTCATTCCTCCCTCCTCCCTCTGCAAGACTGCTGAGTCCAGTTCCTAAGTCGCTCCCCCACCTCCTGACAACACCCACCCCCAGAGCGGGCATTCCCTTCCCCGGAACCACCCAGCAGAAGCTTCGACCCCATAAGAAGCGCCTACTCCCCCACCCCCTCCCCCGCCCTTTCCAAGGTACCTCCCATTCCTCTCCCTCACGGACTCTCCTGCTTCTGCCAATAACTTGAATTTTGTTGGACTACTGGTGTCTTTCTGGTAGCCTACCTGTTGTTAGGTATTACCAGTCAAGCAATAAATTGTTTTGTTTTGTTTTTTAAGGGGGAGAGGAAAAGCAAGCACTTTAAACTGGTACGTTAAGAAAAAGGGTCACTTAAAACCTGAAACAATTCTATTAGGAAAATCTCCTTGTAGATTATGGGTTCTTTTTTGTCTCTTGGCCATTGTCCCCACCTGGAACGTGGCACCCTGCTCAGATCCCTCGGTGTGATCGCAAGGTTATAAAAGATCCGAGTCTCAAAGACCCGCCTGGGCCCGACCTTCGGAAATAATCCAGACCTGTCCTAAAATGGAGGGAGGATGGAACCAAGGCTGTCCCCAAACTCCTAGGTGAATCTCGGGGACTAGAGACCCAAGAGGCTGACAACTCCGCGACTGTCGGTTTGTTAAAGGGAACTTACATACCGAGCTGGTCCTGGAAGGAGGCAAGACGCTGCGGGCACCCTCCGTGCCACCGTGCCACGTGGAAGGCCGCTAAAGGGTTTTGGAGAGGGAAGGATGGATTGGGTATGTGGGTTGTGACCTGCCCCATATAAGGGGACAGAGCCTAACACGCTCGCCTGGGGCAGGGCAATGGGCTGTTCCCGGAACCAGCACGCCTGGGGCCTGGGGGAGGGCGGAGCAACCTTTGTTCTGGCCCCAAGCTAGCCGGATCTGGCTTGAGGGTCCACCCGCGGTGCGGCCGTTGAACACAAGCCCACGCAGGCCCAGCCAAGCTGAGTTCCGAGTTCTAGACCTTCTCTCCCTCAGCCCTGCCGCCTGCCACCCCTCCGCTCAGAGTCCTGCGCGGAGGGGGGGGGATCTTAGCCTGTTTCGTTCAGATTGTGGACTAAAAAGGACTTGTGTGGAAAGCAACCTCACAGGGTTACCTGGGGGATCCTGGTGGGGAGTCACGCCCTGGCCCCCAACTGCAGTAGCAGAAAGGTTGCTAAACCAGGCCTTCCATTGTTCTTGTGCATCTAAGTTAACACACCTTTGAATTACTGGAAGTAGTAATACCCCTGAAGGTGTAACCACCCTCGAGAGAGCACATAATATTGTTAACTCCTGTAATCCAATCCCGTGTTGCTTTCTCCCATCTTCACGTAATGTTCCTTTTGTTCGCTCCTTAATTTCACACGCATAAACTGCAAAACTCTTATTCTCCAGGGCATCTGAGATCCACGCTTCCCGGCAGCTGTTGTCAAGTTGCCTCAAATAAAACCTTGTGAAAATTCTCTCCAGATTTCAACGTTTTCTGTCGACAAGATGTATCCCCAGCCCCTAGAAGACTGTCTGGTGCACAGTCTGTGCCCAATAACATTTGAGCAATGAATGAAAAGAATTATCTGATGTTAAAAAATGTACTAGGCCTTGGCTGACCATCCGTACCAGCGGGAATAATGGCGTGTTGTATTATAGGGAAACAAACTAAACTAAGAATCATCTCTGTTTTAGGTGACTTCAAGAGAAGTTCAGCACAAGGGCCATCCTCACATTTCTTCACTCACAAACATGCGTGGACAGGAAGGGGCCACATATGAACCCCCGCCAGGCCCTGGGGAGGCCTGCGTGGCAGCCGTACAAACTCAGAGACCTCAGGCCACCACAGAGGACGGTCTGCAACGAAAACTTCCTAAGTAAAAGCAGTTCACGGCAGGCAGTCCTGCCCTAGGCCCCTGTTTTTCCCTAACAAAAGTCCGTCTTAACCGTCATTAAAGCTGTCTACCCTCTTTCTGCATCTAAGAAAACGTGCCTTTGGAATGTCAAGGGAACGTCCCTTTCTCCGGACCCCTCGGGGCACGACCACCTACAGCAGAGCGGAGACCACCAGTTCTCTCATTGTTATTATAATCATAGTAATTGTTGACTGTTAACTGCCTTATAGTCACCTGTGTAAAAGTAAGTGTCCCTCATTTTACTTCTTATCCAGTCCCAGAGGTCTCCCTGCTTTGCTTTCGCCCACCTCCCTAAGGCATCACCAATGGATTTCAGGTAAGCCTCCCCAGGCCCTCTCCTTTGATTGTCAGGTATAAGATAAGGTGCAAAACCGCCATTTTCCTGCGCATTTCTCCATCCTTTGAGATTTGGTTTCCCAGCAGTTGTACTCAGTTTGGTTCAAATAAACTAAAAAAAAAAATTCTCTACAGGTTTGTATGTTTCCTGCGTTGACGCTCTGAAAACCTTCCATTTTGTACAACTTGAATATCCTTCTAATTGCTAAATGGGATGCTGCCCTATTCATGAATTGGCTAGAGGCCTACCACATCTTCTTAACAAACAATGTACTTGTTTTTCAACAGGTATGACCATCCTGATGTCCCCAGACGGTGCCCAGTTGTCCCAGCACCATCTATGGAATAGCTTATCTCTTCTCTGGTTTGAGAGGCCATCCTTTGGGCACTTTACATTCTTTGACTTGAGTCTGTCGGTGAACATTCCATTTTCTTCTCTTTCCTTAAATCCTAGTAACCGTGCTATTATTGAAAGTATACAATATCTGTTAGGACTATATTACTTTTCTTTTTCAGGGATGTTCTCATTTATTTACTTTTACATAAGAACTTTAGAATGTGGTCATCTAACTTTTAAAATCCTGTTACTTCTATTTTTATCATGAAACATTTTTGGAAGGAACTCTACCCTCCAGCCCACCCCAGCTCTGGGTGGATAATTAATGTGTCAAGTAAATAAATGATGAGATAAACCAATGGACAGATGCAGGAATGACAATCACACAAAGGGCCTTACCCTCGCTCCCAGCTCCCCACCCACTCAAAAGGACAGGAACTGAGGTTTTAGGGAAAGCATTAGGAAAACACAGAGCAAGCCCAGTGCCTCAGCCTTTCCACCCCCAAAGCCTCTGTGCTGACCCAGAGCGTCCACTGCTTGAGGGCACTCTCCGCAGGAGGGGCAAAAATGTCAATGACGTTTCCAGCTGCCATTCCAGTCCTGCTGCCTGCATGAGCTGACAGCAACAGGTAAATCTTCAAAAGGACAGAAGGAGCCTGGGGCCACCTGGGCTGAGGAAAAAGATAAACTAGATTCTTAGAAAAGGACCGATAGTAATCCCATATGATACTGAGAAGTCATAGAAAAAAAGTTTATGTTTTAACTTTTACTTTGTTGATGTTTTTGTGGTTTAGAAGTTGCAAAAAAAATGTACCCTTGTTTATACCCTTCTGTGTCTGTTGGGCTACATGATAGAAGGCTGGCCTGCCCTATGCAGTGAGGTGTACGTGCCTGGGTGCGTGTAGTGTGGCTTGAGCGTGCGTGGTGAGGGTGTGTGTGTGTGTGTGTGTGTGTGTGTGTGTGTGTGTGGTGGTCATTGGAGCAAATGCTGCTCCAGCTCTTCTGCGTCCCAGGCCTCGGAGCGCGGAGCGGGCCGCCGCATCCCCACAGCAATTACCCACTTCAGTAGAGTTCTTGAGCGCTGACTGAGAAGTGGACGTTGGGAACAGATTAAGAACCCCCAGCCTTATTTGGTTAAAATACAGGTTTTGGTGGTGTTTGTCTTTTTAAGAAAAAGCCTTTTCCAGGGATAGTCTTATCGGGCTACAGTCTAGGGGGATGGTGGCATCAGTGAATACATTCATTTATTCATTTAGATACAGTTGGCAGGAAGGCCTTTCTAAAATGACATTTGAACAGAGACCTGAAGGAGTCCAAAGAATACGCCATGTGAAAACCTAGGGGAGCCCTGGCCTGGCTGGGTGG